GACCGAAAGAGAAAAGGCACCTTACGCAATACCCGGAGGTAATTATATCTATTACCCCTGTGCGTTCTATTATTTTCGTTTCTTTTCATCTGTTTTTGAAATTCCTAACGAGCTTTCAATATTCTCATGAATTTACGACTTTTACTGAGCCACCATAATTCCTTCTTGACTCGAGTGACGTCTTCATAATCGCGTTTTGGAATTTCTCTAAATTAGATATCTCGAAACTATAGATCATCGATGGAGATTCTTTTGTTATTACAATTTCTTGAAATATTAAATAAAATCGGCCTTTTCGATTGGCTTTACAACAAGCGGATTCCATATCATAATGTGGGAACTATTGGGGTTTCACATGCCAACCTTGCGCTCAGCTAAGGACCTCCTCGACATGGAAATTCGTTATCATGTTCATAATATCGTTTGGTATTTCTCTTCTTTTTTTTTGTCATAATTTCTCGACAAGCGAATTATAAAATCATCGATTCCTTCAATTTCGGCTTTATTGTACAGGTTTTTATTAGTTACTCGCTTCTGAAGTAATTAGAGTGAGCTAATCTGTGCAAAAATAAAGCTGAAGTAATTTCTTTCGAAAACTCTGTTTTTTTTTCTGAAGAGACATAAGTAAATTAAAGTGGCTACTATCGCTATTGTAAAATATATTTATTTAATATAAAAAATAAGTAGGAAATATGCGAATGAAGATTTGTACAGTCAAACGTGTAACTCCGTGAGTTTCGTCTTACCCAAGTGGCAGATCAAACATTTTGGTTTGAAAAATGTGAAAAATTAAACTTTACAAACTTTTGATGTACAATTGATCCATTATACACGTATCCATGTTTTTCAACTGTGTGGATGTATTTCCTGATCCTCTGATCAGAGCGTGGAGCGTTACTAGATATTAATTGACCGGAACTAGATATAGGGCATCTGAATGAATAGAAACATTCGTTTCTTTACATGAAAAAACATGTGAATATGGGAACTGGATGAAAGAGTCCCATCCGTTGTTTTTCAATACCAATGATAGATAAATAACACGAGGAATGCATTTTATGGCTTTTCGTCTAGAATCCTGTTCCAGATTCCTTGACCCTCCTTCCAACATGTTTACATATATTTATAGGTAATTACGGTTATTTACATTTCGTAGTCTTTTCCGGCAGTGTCGAAGGTTCCAAAGAAAAAATTGCTATGAAGGAGAACATTTAATTGGCTCGGACAAAGGGAATAAATTTCGTATCTTAATGAGTTCATTTTATCCATTCTGTCTTGAATGAATTGTCTGCAAAGCGCAAACATTTTTTCTCCATGCATAATTAATCATCCGTCGCTACGTCCAGTAAACCTATTGGTGTAGCCAGTGGTCTACGATTATCATTCCATATCCAGTTAGCTTTGTCGAAACGATAACCGATATAGTAATTCCTACTCTTGGTGATAACTCGGGCGAATGTAGGGAACAGTAATAAGAAATGAAAACGTGTTTGCATTAATAACATTTTCTCATCAACAAATTAAATATTCTCTTCAATAAACCAGTGTCACCCATACGCTCAGCGAAATTTCGGAGAAAATAGTCCCGTCTACTGTTGATCTTTATATAAAGATGGCATTAAATGTTAAGAAAGCAGACTTCACCTCCGATTTTTTTCATTTTTTGGAGGTGTGTCCCCAAGGAGTCTCTAGACAACCCTCGAAATTTCAGTTGTCGGAAACGCATAGCAAGGGAGATATCGCCGCATAAATTCACCGCTCTCAGCGTTACCCAGGAGGTGGCAATGTTTGTGGTCCCAACACATCACATCTTATCATATATTAGACAACTGGACAACACAGAGATGATTTTTGATGGATTTCAGACATCGATGCATGTGGAATTCTTCGACGCTTCCTCCACTATTCTCCTGTAACAAGGTATTAAATTATAATTTAATTTAAGTACAATAAGCTCGAAGGGCTGTTCACCTGCAGCGACCCCCGGGATTTGTTGATGAATTTACTTTACCGGCGGGTAGAGCCTAGCCACAGTCTCAATAAATGTGTCATACCTATTAGAAATCTCAACTCCACGTCTAGACAAATGCTCAGCTATATATCCATGGAAGTGTTCCTCACAGCTTCCGTACCTGGGGATGTCACCCTTAAAATTACGCCACGATCATTCTATGCCCTGTGTTTGAGCACTTGTCTCATTGTCGACAAAAGCGACTTGGTGATTTACCGTGAGGTGGTTGTATCCCTCTTCGCCTCGGCATTGATATGCTCTCCACCGATCCGAAATCGTTGTTCCTGATCTAATCCAGTTCTTGGTGATAACCACAAGCATAGCAAAGGAACGGTCAGGCACCACGGTGATGACGAGCGATTTTGAGTCTATCTCCAGCGCACCAAACATCCATTTCCCATCTATTATGAGTCCTCGATTGTATTTTCGGTGACCAATCTTGGTCTCGTCAATCTCTACAACGACACCATGTCCACCGATTCCCGAGACCGGTCTTCACGCCAATCTATGAGTACCTCGCCAACGAAATTAGTCCAGTCAACCACCGTTGAGTGTGACAGGTCCAGTGCCCATTCACGAAATTCTTGACGGGATAAACCTGCCGTGAGGTACAGCATTATGAATTTAATCACTTTGGGCATGGGTATGTGTGTGTTCATAAACCATGACCCATGGTATGTACTCACTTTGGTGTTACACTGCACTCTCACTCTCCTTCTATGACCATCCTCAATCACACACCTTCGGTCACCGGAACACATCAACTAGTTCAGATAAGTGCATATCACTCCCGGACTTCTGACAAACCGCTTCACTTAAAATCACTCTTTTCTCTTAGTACTCGAAGCACGTTACTCTGATCGGAGCACAATCAATATATATCAATATATGTCATCTAAATTCATGTTTATCGAACCTATTATCTCCATTGCTCTTCTCAGGTGTATTATACAATTCAACTAACAATAGGTATGTTGTTATTTTTTCGATAACCAGACAGTCCCTCCCCTAGGCGCCAATTCGACAATCACAACTCTATTAAAATTATTCTTGATTAATGACAACAGAGTCGGAACCCCGAAATTCGATTTATTGAGGTGATGTCAGCTTTCTTAACATTTAATCGCAATTTTTTAAGGAAAAACAAAGGATTTTTTGATGACTTCGTCTGATCAATTAAAAACTCACCTGATTGATGTGCTTGTTTTCCTTCTCGATGAAGAATTCCCATTTTCGAATTGAATTTACATCCAGTTTGCGGCAGAACATTAGATTGAAGCATATCCAAAACAAAAAGATCAATTCAACGGAACTTTATCCTTCCGGCAACCAGGTAAATACAATCCAATTCTCGGAAGAAATTCCTTCACCGGAGCCCCAGAAAAATGTGGTTTAGTTTTCACTGCCCCAAAAAATTAAATGCTTTGAACTAATATTACCGTGTACACCAGCTCATTTTCAAGACGATCGGAATTGTTTCGGCTTGTCAGATGTGTCGTATCGGAGGGCTTGATGAAGGGAAATGATTGCACCGAATGAGAGCATATCTCGAGAAAAAAAGTCAGTGAACATGCATTCTCCAGTTTGGCTAGAATCCATTGCTCCATGTTACCCTGAAAATAATTCGAATCAGTCAAAAAAGGAAAACAGAAATTGAAAAAAATAAAAATGAAAATGATAAAACGGAGCAGATATGAGTTGTTTTCTGCAAAATCAAATTCGTAAGAATAAATTTAAAAATTTCGGAAAATTCAGAAACTTCCTGCTTATCATAGTGGATTTCATTCCGGAACAGCCGAATTAATTCTGTTTACACTTGGCTGCTCGCTCAATATTATCTGAATTTTCTCTCGCCGCAAATAACACCTGTGTAGTTCAATAATGTAGATGAATAATTAACGTATTTTTTTACGTACCTGAAAGGCAGTTTTCCTCATTGCACGCTTGCTTACGTAGAACATATTAATCCATCAATTTTCTGCACAGTATTATTCGTTGATTCGCAGTTGTTGTAATGAAAAATAATTAAGCTCAACTTTTTTGGTAGTATTCGGTGCGGTTTGTTCTCATTTATCTATATTTATTATATTGACTAAATGAAACGAGAATGACAGTACGACTATACTCGTGCTCCGAAACTCAGCTGAGTCGTTAAAAATAGCTATCAACAAGAGTACATCTCCTTTACTCCGAGACCCCTCCTATGCTGTCTATGATATCTTATTATTTTTTTTTTATTTTACCACCAATTATGGAGATGAGTGACTTTGATTCAGCGTCTATCAATGTCCATCAAATCATTCTGCTTAGAATGAGCCCAAGTAGAAGTTTCTATTATTAATTTAAAAAAAAAAGAAAGGCTATCTTTAATGACAATTTTTGGAAATTTGTTTTTTTTTCAATTCAATCTATCAACTTATTTTTACAGTCAATCATTCTCTATCATTCGACTGTCTATCTGGTCTATATATCTGGTCTATCTAAACTCTCTCAGATCCCTAGATTGTAGAGACCCGCTAGAGTAGGGTCTAATTAGAGTTCTTAACGTCGTCGTAATAATTTTGGTAATTATAAAATTTTATAAAATTATAAATTATAAAATGTTCACTTTTATACTTAGCATGTACTTCTAACATCAGGGGCTTTATGTTTAATGTATTTGAGTTTATTTTGTTACTTATTAATTCCCTGACAGGAATTACTATTTTTGAAACATTAAATAATGAAGAAAAAAATTGGCTTCTCTTTACAAAATGGCAGGATTTCGAATTCAATGTTTATAATTGGGGGAATGACGAGTGTTGTAATTTCAAGATATGGATAACACATCACAAAAAAAAAGTTAAAAAAATAAAATTTGTACAGAGAAAATTAATTTAATCTAATAATAATAAATGAATCAAATAATTTGATCTTGAATGCAAATAATTCGGCATGATTTCGAAACCAAACGAAATTGAAAATCCATGGAAATTGGCGCGCTTGAATCTCTCGCTGGTGATTGGTTGGCGCTGGACATTTAAAATTCGATTAACTTAAAATCCATTCAGTCAATCGGTAGCTTTCGTTGAAGAACCTCAGCTCGACGCAGATAATTTTCGAAAAGCGTAAATAAACAAGTCATGTCTCGATCGTCAAGAATCGAATGAAAATCGACTGGTGACTGTCAAATACGAAAAATCTCGTGAGAAGCTTGTTGAATGACACATGGTGTCTCTCAGCTGTTTGGCCATTTAAAGCCCCTGGACTCATTGCGCAATCGCCAAAAGTTTGCATGCACTCAAGTGAAACTCTTTCAATAGCGGTCAGAGAACTCATTTCTCCGTTCTGTGAGAGAGTGCACGGGCACTCGGAAGTATCTCCCGCGATTGATAAAACGTTTATTCCCGCACTACGGGAGAATAATCGATAATTACCCTATGATAAACTATTAAAAATGCCAACGAAATTTAGTAAATTTGTTATTGATGCGAGTTGCAAGGAATATGTGCATCCCTGGACGAATTCCTGCATCAGTGCAACTGCTGGTCTTGGTCTGCATGCCATCCAGGAGTCCCTCAGGATATACACAACTGTTTATCTCGTACGTAATCATTGATTAATCATCAATCGATTTCCTTTACATTTACTAAGACCCTTGATTTTATCAAAATCCTGTATCTCCACTAAGTTACTCCAATAAATACACAATCAATGTTTAACACCAACAGATGATATTTTTTATGAATCATTCAATGATTTATCTTTTTATCGACTTTTTTTTCTCCATCAAAACTAAATAAATAACAAGAAACAGCCACTGACGATTAGAATGAAAATGTCGAATCATTTGATTTTCGCAGTTGATGATTTGGTTTCGTCATTAAAAAAAATAATTCAATGGATGCGGAAATGCATGTTTGATTCATTGAGCTTTGTGGTGGTAATGAGGTCAAATAGTGCATTACTTATGTATCGAATGATACAAGTGATTTAAACACGTATCGTCTGATTGGTAATTGATGATGGATTGTCATATTTTTGATTGGTGAATGAAGGTAACGATGGCAATGAGAGGCAAGAGACCAACCAAAGATGAGATTAAAAAAAGTTTGATGGGAATACTTCAGTCCACTGCCTTTCTATCGTGGAGCACTTTCACCTTCTCAATGTTTTTATGCAGCTTCAGGTAATTATGGAGAGTTTAATAACGAGTGATTTTTTTTTGAATAAATTTTAAATTTTGAATAGCTCACCAGGTCAAGAGTTTTTTTATGCCGACCCGAAGATCATTTGCAAGATTGCTGTAATTATGAGAGAATCATTACATGAAGTTTTTGTCTAAAAATTCTTTTCCAACTTTTTTATAGAAGCTTTTGGAATCACTCCACCATTTTTCCTTTTTAATTATACAAAATATTACTATAAAACAATAAAATAATACCCGTTATTTATTTATAAAAATGATGTTCACCAACTTTCTCTATTATTACGATTTTGATCTTGATTTTTTTAATGAAATTTCAAATGAATATTTTTGGTCTATTAATTGATCAATAGCAATTATTAGCTCATTTATTACTTCAATATTGGTGGTATTCTCCACTACACACGCTACACTTCACATCAGACTGATGGAATTTAGATTTTTCTAGACACCAATTTTTTTTACCAATTCTTTTTTTGGTAAAAACAAAGTTCCACGATTACTTGAAAAATAATTGGTCAAAAAGTCTGAACCCCGAAAAATAAACAGAAAAACAAAACCGTTGCTTAATTCATCGGAATCACCTAAAATATATAATGATTCAGTTTTTTGCATTGCAGACGATTAACTGGGAATTTTAATGTATTATCAGTGGCATTTCTCCCATCGTTCTTTTCAAGTTTATCTGCAATCGTGATAGAGAGGCCTTCGAGACGCGCCATGCTGTGTCTTTACGTATCAAATATCGTAAGATAGTCCTCATTTTTTATTCAACCAATTGCTTTAATCTGTTAACAATTCAACAAAAAAAATAACGTATGCCGAATCTATAAATAAATCAGTTGCATTGTGAAAAAACTTATCTTTTGTATGAATACTATTAAACACAGAAGATAAATTGGAGTCCCTAGTTATGGAAATTTTTGCATTCTTAATTGAGTACTTTACATTATAAAGCAAAAAGATGTTGTTTTATTATTTCACTGCGGAATATTCAATTAAAGTGAATGATGAATAATATTTCCATTGTATGCAATTGATTAGCTACAGTGTAAACCGAGATAAAATTTATTTCACATTGAAAAAATGCTACCAATCAGGAAGGAATGAACATTTGGAATAAATTCAGAGAATTTCTAATAATCTCACGTCTCGAAAATCGAAAATTGTGCACCTTCTTCATCAAAATTCATTATTGTTACAAATATTATTCAATATTGAATTGATAGTCTCGGCAATAGTCAATTATATAATTTATTAACGATATAATAAATTTACTGTAGAAAAAAGAATTGTTGAGGCACGATCAAGGAAAATTTTAGATCCAATCAATGATGTACAATGTACATGATTATTACCGATTTTTTTGGTGCTCTTACGTTTTTATTATTTTTGGTGAAACTTGCTCACCAATCTATTAAAAGTGTTCTACACCCATATGCACATGTAAGGTGGTGCAATCACTTTTCTGCATTGTTGTCTAAACGTTTAAAAAGAATCACAAAACTGTAGACCAAGTGTGAAAATGATCGCACCACCAAAAAACTTCGTGAGCCATTAAATAATGACAAAACACAAAAACTTTATATTTTTTGCTTACGAACGGAAGCTTTGTAATCGTCACATTTCCGAATTTGCTAATTTTGCTTGGAAGTGCTATAGAATGATCTGAAACGTAAAAGTAGAAAATTTGAGCACCATGTGTTGATTTGTACATGGTCAACTTGGGGCACTCTTTTAGAAAATTAAAAGGATAAACGGCTAAATTTATTCCGAGAACGGCGAAATTCCGTCAAATTATAGGTATTACTAAGAACTAGGTCGGTACCAAAATTCAGCTCGATTGGTCCAGCCGTTTTCCATAAATTGTCATTTCTTTCTGAATCGTTTTGTCGCAAATACCGCGAAAACTATCCAATCGATTTCAATTTTTCACCTGTCGAAATATATCTCTTCGTACTCTATCTCAATCAATCAAAATATGTACATCGATTCTCACTAAGTTTTCCAGATATTCCAACTTTCTTGTTTTTTCAAAACAAAAGTTGTTAGCACGGGATCGTTGCGAAAAATTCATTCATTAACTTGAAATGTGGCATTGAATATCCTCTTGGTAATTAAATCTTTAGCATCGAAGAACGCTGAGGCTTTCTTTTTAAAAAATTTTGTACTCAATCTCTTTTCTTTTTACACTTTCCCAACCTTATTTCGATTCGTTTTGCAATCAAACTTGATTTGTTTTTTGAAATCATCAATTTTATAAATGATCTTTCATCGAGCACTTGGTCCATGATCTTTTTACTCACAAGAAAAAATTTTATGAAAGAACCTAACTAATAAAAAATTCTCCATATTTGATAAACAAATTTTCTTTTAAAGCTTTTTTCTTTATTATTATATTGATAAAAACTATCTCTCCTCTAAAAAAATTCTTTTCGATATCCTCTATTTCAATCAATTTCAAGTCACATACCTCACCATAAAACATTTGTTGAGAATCATCAAAAAATAAGAGCAATCATACAAAGGGATAAGCACTTTCTCTAGCCGTTTGAAAGCATACCATCAATTCATTGATGGCGATGAAAGATTGGAAAAAATTACTCAAGGACTTCACTGTCACATCCTCGCTGTCACATACTCTCAGCCTTCTGCTTGTTTACATCGATAATCTGACCAAAAAAAAATTAAAACATGGATTTTGCCTATGTATGGGTGTGGAATATCCTTAATCCACCGATTGCCAAAGGCTTCCTTCATATTTATATCTGTCGAAAAATGGAAAATTTTTAAAATTAAGAATGGAAAAATTTTTAATGACTGCATATTATCGAAGCATTCCCTATTATAGAGACCGAAATGAAATTGAAAAAACAATATTACCACTATGTTAAGATATTCTATTGCAAATTTCGTAAATTAATTTTGTTCTATTGTTTCTAGGCAACTGAAACCCTTTTCAAAATGGGATTATGGCGAGGATACTACAGCTCGGTTCCAAATGGAAACGTTTACATATTCGCAGCCAGTATAGCTGCATTACTCTGTTTATACAGGAATAGTGACGCCAATACTGACTCGATATTTAGGATAATTAAATTCGTTGCTAGTCCCTACGAGGCTAAGAATCATAGACACAATCAAATAAGAGATAGAGGCGATAGGAGGGATATGCAGCGTGATAGAGTACAAAATCCTATATCGAAATCAAATATTTTTATAGAGTCACTGAGGGCTTATCAAAGGTTGATAAGCTGGATTAAGAGCTTTGGGAGACATTCTGCCTGTCCACATCCTCACAGTTGTGCACATTTTGTTTTAGGCGTGAGTAAACATTTACTTTATCTTTTTGTTTAGTGATAACAAGTGATGAGTGGCTTTTTTCTCGTAAATCTATGGAACTAATGATAGAAGAAAATACGAACCTTTTTTGTAGAGGCAAAAATCTTCAATGGAAAAGGTTTTTCATGATACAAGCCCATTAATATTTAATTAATAGTTTAATCAATCCAATTATTAGTATTTATAAGGCACTTTATTGTTCTAGGGAGGTAGTAAGTTATTCACAATTGGACTGAGTGTACAAATAGGATTAAAATTAGTTGTGCAGCTGAAAACATTGTTTAGCAAGCCTCACCTACTCAAATCGATAATTTTCCAGAAGAAAAACTTTAACTTGGCAGTTTTTCTTGGTGGATTCACTGGTATTTATAGGGTAATTACACCATTACCACTTCATCGATCAATAGTAGCAACAGTGATAATTTAATCATCACAAAAATGAGATAACTTTATTTAATTATTATTTTCTCATTCTCCTATACATTTTTATGAAATTGTGAGGTAAAAAATAATGGTATTAAATAATTTTCAGCTCGTTTCTTGCTCGCTACGAAGGCTCAATGATGGCGATAATTCAATTCACGCATTACCAGCTGGATTAATTGCGGGATTGACCTTTGTCATGTTTCCCAATAATACTATTGCTCTCTATGTGATGTGGAAGGCATTGCAAGTAGGATTTTTTTTTTAGATTACACTGTGATACGATTCCTACCCTTCGATTTTACAAAGAAAATTTTCAAGTCCTGAAACTTTTAAATCACACCTAACAGTTTAAATTTATAATTGTTTCAATCGTATTGCTTCAATCACATTAATATCCAAAGCTATCATTTTTCCTTAAAAAAAAAAGATAACAAACTCTTATTGAAATTTTATTATCTGAAACTATTTATCTGTCTTTTTTATTCTTAACGACAAATTTTTGTTGCAGCTACTATGGAATAAGGGAATTGAAAATGGAAAGTTACCAGAAGTCAAAGGATTTATAATTGGACTTTATTGTTTTAGTACAGCTGTCTTATTCCATGCGGCTATGGTTGAGCCCCAAAACTTGAGATCCTCGTACTTCAAGTTCTTGCATAATTTATCGGGTGGAAGGTGAGTAATTCTCGTCTGTTAAAGTAAAATTTATCAACGAAAAATCCAATTGGAAATTTAGTCAAATGAAATTTGTCAAGTTGATCTACAATCAACATTTATTTTTTATATTTACTTATTTTTCTCTAAGTATAAAGAGCCTTTATGACAATTGAATTCCATTGATTAATCTTACATTATCCCTTACAGATTGGCAGCAATGAATCGGATTCCTCTCGATCAATTCGGCCTAGAGACATCGAAATACCTGGAGGAAATTCTTATCAAAACAAATACCACAAATAAGCTTACGTACTCATTCTGAAGGACAATAAACTCACTCATAGAAGTGAAAGAAATGGATAAAAAAAAATTTATCAGAGCGCATTCAAGGAATTTAATTCCTGACAACAAAAATTGCTCTACTGACTCATCATCGTTACCTCACAAAGAGCAAATACATGTCTTTAACTTATGCAACGCGTCGACTTCACATAAGTAAACAACATTAGTGAAATTTGCTCATCATTTTTAGAGTAGAATTATGCATGACTTTCAGCATCCATTACAATGTACATTGTACAAGGACAATGATTTTCATATAAAAATCGTAGCCTTTGAGCTGGTGACTGCTTCTGTGACCCAAATAAGAAACGTCTTGTGAAGAGCAAAAACCATGGAGATTGAAAAAGAAATCAGCAAGAATATTTGAATATTTATAAAAAATTTTCTCAGCTTCACGCAGTTACATCATAAATCAATTCAAAAAAAAAATATGGTAAATAATGGTAAAAATTTTCGCCAAGAAAATATGTTGAAAAAAGTCCCAGTGATTTTTTTTGTATCTAAGAGAATTCTCTGCGAAAATGTTTGGAATGCTCTAGTGGAATCAATCATGCTTTAGATAACCGTATGATTTTTAAAAATCCACAGAGATATTATCACGCGATTGCTATTTCATTTTTTTTTTCTCATTTTTACTGTTACGTAAAAAAAGTTATTGAATAGATCATAATTAATGTTTCGTAAGAACCAAAGAGACTTGAAAAATTGGTTGATAGATCAAAATCATATCATTGCGGCCGTCCATCAACAATAGTCCCATTGTTTTAGTGTAAGTAGGTGGTAAATGTTAATTGGTGATAGGATATTAAAATACTTCGAAAGATAAATTGAAGGAATGGTGCCTGGTGAACATTGTGATAGTACATTTTTTATACCATTTAGATATTACAATAACGTTCGGTGCATCAGCTATTACTTCGTACTTTATCGTTGATTATTCATTATGTAATTTTTATTTTTAAGGGAGATTGAGTTTAATAATTTCATGAGTAATTGTACGACAATAAAATGCAATTGCAGCAACAACTTTACTCTTGTTATTACCATTAGAAATTTAAATAAAAAAAAAAACAATAGTTCATGTATGCAAACATATTTGCGCCAAAAACTTAAAATTAGGAAAAAGGGCTTCATGAAAATTTTACAAAGACAGTAGTGTTCTGCGAATAATATTTGAAGATTTTTATAATAGTCAATAATATAGAATACCACGACAGTGTAAAAAAACGAATACTAAACAAAAGTTGGGAAAAAAGGAAGAGGAAGAAGTGAGGCATCGAATAAGGCAAGGTTAGAATTGAGCGAGGGAGAGAAAGAAAAAGAGAGACAGGAGACACCGCGGAAGTAGAAGAAGAAAACAGCGACCAACAATACAACCGCCGTGATTCAAAAAGAGAAAGAGAAGGAACTCAGCGGCGGTCGGTAAGACGGAGAAGGAAAAAAGAGGACGACCACCAAGTAAAACAGACAATAAAACTAACATGAGTACGAGAATCACACGTACAAATATACCAAAACATCAGAAAAAAGAACAAGGCAGTGCAAAGAACATTAAATCATACACTGAGAAAAAATTCTATCACAAATTAGTGTGCTATTCACCAACCCATGGGACCAAACCGTGGTCAACAAAAAATTCGAATGACCCACCCGAAAAATTCGGCTGTGGCACCCTACTTTTTGAAGAACTTACGCTAATTTTCCGTGAGACTCCCTTAAAAATTGGGGCGTCACATCCGAATTTTTTGTTGACCACGGTTTGGTCCCATGGGTTGGTGAATAGCACACTAATTTTTGAATGGACTCACACGAAATACTGATGTATTTTTCTCTCCGTGTACTACGGCGACATGACGAGAGAAAAAGCAGGATCAAGATCAGAACACATAAAACACATCACAGAGGAAGAGGACAGGAGGACGAAAGAAGCTGAGACACAACCAATAGACAAGAACGATAAGACACTCTGACTTTAACTTTAACAGTTTAACTATATACGAGGGCGGAAAGGAGGACTTTTGAGAACATCACCGAATGAAACACTACTGAGACTTCGTTTGACTTCTTTCTCTCCTCTAGGTCATCCGATGTCCCTTCTGCTGTCCTTTTCCCATCATTTGTTGACTTAGCTATCCTCACCACTGAGGTGTTAGTAGTGCATACGTAGCCCAGTGGTACATTTTATCAACATGTTCTTGTCTTATCATTTCACTGAGTTTTTTGTACTCAGCTCCCCATTGTTCTGTCGTCTCAGTCCAATCCTCCAGTAATTCTTGCTTATTATCAAGTTCACTAGATTTAACCTTAGCCTGATTATTTATTCGATGACTCACTCTTACCTCTTCCTTTTTTCACAACTTTTGTTTAGTATTCGCTTTTAATTACCATAGTAAACTAGTTTATTGTCGCACTCTTTCCACTGATGGGCGTGCAACGCCTTCAACGCTCCGCGTTGGTCCCCCCAATTTGATCTTATTGTAATCCAACACGATGAGTTCACTTGACGTTTCACAATATTACATTAAATGTATTTAATGTGTCTTTATACACAGAACTCCACATGGAAAGTAGGGACCGAGTGATCTTGCTACTGGTTCACCAGATTCATGAAGAGTTGGGTTTGAAGAAAACAAGAGATCGATCACCACGAAGATCTCCGTGATTGTGATCGATATTTATCCTAATTTAATCTTATCGCCGGCAAACGCCCGGCAGCCGTGATTGAACTGATTCCGGCATCAGGTACCAAATAATCTCGAGTTCACCCCTTGGTCTGTTCTGAATCCACACTGGAATCTCACATATAGGCCATTGCATTCTGTCGATGAAGTCGTGTGGAGGATTGCGAAATTGATGCGATTTATTCGTTCGATTTCGAATTATAAAAAAATTAATAATTTAATTCATTAAAAAAAATCCTCAAACACAACAGCTGACATATTTTGATTATTAATTATCCGAGACATAGAACTCTTCTCTCTAATTTAGTACAAAACGAATGTTCTCAATGGAATAAAATACGTATGATAGTAGCAAATAACACAGCGATAATGAGAGAAATAAAATAACTCTAGAATGGGACCTTTTTGTAAGAACCAGATTTTTTTTTTAAACAATACAATCCATATCTGACGACAATGGTTCAATTCTCGGTAGAAGAACATTTTCACATAATTTTCTATTTGCGATATACTTGACACAAAAAAAAATTCTTATAAAAAAGAATATTAAAGATTCTAAAAATATGATAATTTTCATAATCGAACTTGAAAAATTCAATTGACAAGTAATATTTAAACAAGTTTATGAAGATTTGCGTCTTTCCGCGTTGAACAGGGCGCACTATCAAATTTACGGTAATTAGGTAAAAAAATTATTCGCTATCACACGGAATATGGACATGTAGTTGGTTCAATGTCAATAGGCAACGTATGCACAGTATGAGTCAACAAGGGAACATTGATATTCCCAGTGGAGTGTCTGCTTCATAAATACTTCAATAATGTTTCTGGTGTTAATTTTAGTTGCACAGGTTCAGGGAATACTTCGAGAACCTCCAGTGCCAAAACTTATCATCATATCATACAGTGGATTCCGGTGTTGTTTAATTTTTAGCATTCTTTCCTATAAAAGCTAGAAGGCAGTACAATAATGATTTTTAATTCTTCAGTTACGATTATTTCGCGCACAATGCCACCCCCTTCTTGAACGCTTTGAGAGAGGACTGGGGAGATGTGAGATATCCCAAGTATGATTTTTTCAAAAGAAAAAATTCACATAGTGTCACTGCTACCAAGGAATATTCTACGGGGACTCGCGAGTCTTTGGAAAATGACGGATTTTATGAACAAGATGAGCAGCTCAATAAGTCCATTCACATCCCGACGTATGCCCAAGATGCTTTACCTATTTGGGTAAATAGTCGGTTAATCAGATCAATCGATCACCGAACTATTTTCAATGAATATTCTCTCAACTCTATTGTAGATTATCAATGAAATCAATGGAAGGAATAGGAGCAGTGGACTGATGATGTGGCCTGGCGGGGATTTTGTATTTAATGGGACGCGCGCAACATATGTCATGGTAAAATATTAATTATTAGGTCCATTTAATATTCAAGGCATTCAGAATTGGATTCCCAATAAATACTAATATGTAAAATATTACGGAAGAGATATGTGTAATCACCAATCAAATCATCTTGGACAAATTTCAAATTGAACACACAATTATTATTATTATTTATTATGTTCAAGGATTCAAAATTATTGGAGAAATCTAAATGTACGATGTTATCATAAGTAATCGCATAAGTAATCGCGTCTATTGAAAAATTTGATAAAAAAAAGCTATTTTTTGGAATGTTAATTCATTTGGTTCATGTGAATGATTTAGAGGAAATGTCATACTATAAATAGAAAAATTCCAGGAATTCAATGAGAATGAAAATTGGAATTCTCGGATTGACATGGTTGTGTCCTGGTTCAAGGACCCTAATCGCCCAATAAATCTGGCAATGTTGTATTTTGAAGGACCTAATTTGCACACGCACGGTGTTCATCTCAATTTTTCCCTAGTTGATGATTCACTCAGACGATTGGATACTGCAACTGAATATCTGTATGATCAATTAGTGAAAAATAATCTCAATGATGTCAACGTCATTCACGTGAGCGATCGTATGATGATCGATATTTCTGCAGTGAGAGTTATCAATATCACAGCGATCATTGGGAATGAACATTATGGAATTGCTGGTAGTTCTTCCACTTGGATCATCAGGCCAGATGAAGGTAAACAATCTTCTAAAAGCATAAACAAATTTAGTTTTAATTAATTAACTTCGTTGAAAATATGAAAACAACCAGAGAGCGCAAATAGCGTTTGAATATTTCATTCGTTTTCAGATATTTCATTCTTTTGCGTCAATGACTCGAATTTTAAATATCTCCAAGTGTTACAATTCCAATCCTTCATAGAATAGATTTCCATGGTATTTCTTCATTTATATATCAAATCTTGTAAATGTTTGAAGATAATGCAGTGCGGATTTACGGGAAATTACGGGCATTCATGGAAAGAAGTCCAGGATTTGAAGTCTATTGGAAGGCCGAACTTCCCAATTCACAATTGCGTCAGCGAATCGAAGTAGAGGGAATCGTTCTCATTGCCAAACCAGGATATATATTTGAAAAGGCTGTAACCAATTACGAAATTCTGAAGACAACAGTTGACATAAATAGTATCACATTTCAACAGTTCAATTCCATCATAAATTCTGCATTACAAGCTTTATCATTCTCTTGATTTTTTTTTATAGTTACCAATGAGTTCCAAATTGAGTCTTCTGAAGAAGACGATGATGATGGACCAGGAGTCTTTTTCTTCGCGACTGGCCCTGCATTCGAAAAACATTGCACTCTAGGACCATTAGATGATGATGATGAAGATTTATATCCTCTGATTTGCCGAGTTTTGAACATTTATTGTCATGGGAGAACTCAGGAGATCAAGTCTTTCGAGAAATGCATCAGGGAAATTAGGGAGGAATCCAATTATGATGTCTTCCGTAAGTTTCCTGCTTTATGTGTCAACAGAAAATAATTACCTGAAAGCATCCTTCTGAGATTCTGAAGGAAAACCTGACAACTTGGATTTTTTTACAGTCGTGGTAGTATCAATACTGGTAATTAGTCTGTTCATCGGCTTCGTCATTATTCTTTTTACGAGAAAACGGAAACTTCATCAGAACTTCAATGTTACTCCAGAGAAGTAAGTAAAATACCACTGGAAATTTATTTGCATTTGAATTATTGAAATTTTCAGGAAATTCTAAGCGATTGTCGACCTCGATAACCAGCGAATAAATGACGGCATGAACGACTGTAATGCGCCCATTTGAAATGAAAAAAATAAATATTTGTGCAAAAGTGGGCGTATGCTTTAGGAATATGAACATTGATTTTTATTATGAAATTATTATTTATTTCTGCATGCTTACATCTTCCGGCTCTTTACAATCTGAATAGCTTTATCCACTACCTTATCAGCTTCCCTTTTTCTCCTTCTCTTGCCCCTCTGACTTTTCCTGAAGACTTTCTCCCAGTTGACTCTCTTCCTCGCCAAGTCACTCACCTGAACAATCCCCGGGACAATATCACCCTCATCATTTGGACAAACAACTTTAGGTTCCACTGCACCTTCCAGAGTCTGCAACGAGTTGATCTGCCAGGGAAGAACCCCAAAGACACAATCTCCCCAATTGAAATCTCTTGGAGCCATCGTCCAACCTGAATCCTTGACTTCTTCATCTGCAGAGTTCTCTCCAGGCACTTGTTCATCACCCACTTCTATATCTCCACAAATTTCTTTGAAGTCTTGAAGAGTGTACACGACATCATCATTATCCCTATCATCATCAATCACCTCTGCACTCTGAATTCTCAAAAATTCCAGCAAACTATTCTTCTTCTCCGAATTAATCTCAGGCCTGACCAGTTCCAAGAACTCTGCAATAAAAATCGACGTGTACTCATTGGCTTGAATTATAATGTCTTCAGTAAAACTCTCATCACTAAAAATCCTGGGTACGTCAGTATTCAATCCTAGCCACGGGGAATCCTTTAAATCCTGGACTTTCTTATTAATAATTCCCTCCAACTTTTTATTTATGACCTTTTGAGGAATCTTCTTACCCCTGCCCTGAGAATATTCAAACTTCTCCCCCTCTCTCTGCGCAATCCTAAGTTTAACAAAACTCTGGGCAATGGCCTTCAGCCATAAACTTGCAGATATTTTCTTTTGATTACTCTGGAAAGAGCTCTCCCTAGAATGGACAACGTCAATCAACTTCATGCTCAGCATCTCCAGGACTTTCGTCTCATGGAGGAGTGCAATTATTGGTTGCCAAAATGCGATCATTTTTCTAGGTAGTTTTTCATGCTTCTCATTGACGTTAGATTTTTCTGTAAAAAGACTTAGAATCTCGGAACTGGCCAGGAACACTTCACAATTAACCAGAAGGTCGGTGATGATTTTTCCTGGGGTTTTTTGGTCTTTTTTCCGACGAAGTTCGTTGGATATTTCCGTAAATAAATGAGATCTAGCTGTTTTGAGACGGTAAGTGCGTTCGTCAAGGTGTTCTGAAGGTATGCTCGTATCCAGATCTCGTTTTGTCATTTTCGTATGAGAATGGAAGTCCATGAGAGTGTTTCTGAGGTGGTCATCAGGGAGATCCGCGACGACCGAGAATTCGGACTCCATATAAAGACCGATTGACATCCAGAGTTCAATCAGATCAACGAGGCACTCGAAGTTTTCAATCTCCTCGAGTTCTATTATCTCGTTTTGTTTTTCGAGGACTTGAGCTTCTGGTGCCCAGTACTCGTCATGGAGCCATCTGAGCAGGATGTTGGAGGCCATTCTTAAAAGTGTGATTGAGGACAAATCGTGACCGTGAGCTGCATCGTGGCGCAGGTTGACGATCCACTCCGGGATTTTCAACTGTTTTGCTATTTGGAAGAGAGAAGACTGCTTCGTAGGGCCGATATTTGAGATTTGATTCAGGAATCGCATTATTGTAGTGGCATACATAAGAGAGAGATCGTTCTCGTAGTGCATGGGGAGCGCCTTGGAATTTATCTGGGGTGTCCACGAACGATCTCGCAAGCAGACTTGTATCAAGGAAAGGGTGCATTCGATGCCCACTGGAAGCTTCGGCAGTCTAAAACGTAAAATTGGAATAATTATTTGATTTTCGCGGTTATTTTTAGACCAATCCACAAAACTCTGTACCAATTTCTGATCTTTCAATTTTTAGCGTCTCTGTATTGTTCAAAAATACCCGAGGAAACCCCTTCTCGTTTTAAATAATGGGGATAGTAATTTTTTATTCATTGATTTTGTTTATAATATTTGGGGTTTAAAGGAAAAATTGTACAGAAAATTATATTATATATGAAAAAGGCCTCAACGATTTAAAATTGAAAAACCTCATTCAACCATTTTTTCAATTGCTTTTCAAGTGTTATTATTATAGATAAGCCCAATATCGCCAAAGTGGAGCCTTTTCGTACAGACTTCTACATATGTGAATTCCGCATGATAAATTTAAGGTAGCACTTAAATACAAATTTAATTTAATTTAATTAATTTAAATACAAGTAGATCACAATGTGCTTTTTGTTTTGAGGATTTTGGAGCACATTCTTTGAATAATTCAAGATATATTCCTGATTTCCTAAACGATTGACCTCATACATTCTCGGCAAAAAATTATTATAGATAGAGGATAACTCCAGAGACTTGTGGTGTACCATTTTCAAAAATCAAATGCTAAAAATTTGGAAGGTTACTATCTATATTATCTATTACCATACACATTTCCGGAACCGATCCGTACATTTTTTTTCTCTTTTACGATATGGATGAATAAGCAAAATTGTATAATGTCAACCACATGTAAATTGTTTATTGTACAAATAAATCTTTTCATCTGACTCGTTATACTTCCAGACGATTATATTATTTTCTATTAAAAACCGAATGGATTTTTCGCATAAAAAAAGAATAGGTCATATTAGACGAGCATGAACTAAAAATGAAAGATAAAATAAAAATTTTGAAGTATAAAATTTGATTTGTTAATTTACCGGGCCTTCCACACCAACAGTGTCTCATAACCTTTCGTCTGCTGTTCGGTGTCATTAGAATAAATTTGTTTGTAAACAGCGTGCCACTCGTACCTATAACACCATTAGAACAATTGAATCCTTTTGTTTAACTAGACAGATTAATATTTTATCTTTATTAATTAATGAAAATTACTTACGGAGAAAACCAGGGGACACGTTTGAGTTCGTCCCTTCTTGCAGAAAGTGCCATGATTGAGCCACGTGTGCGCCGACCAATGAAAAACAAGAGACCAAATAATATATATATATTATGTTTTATATAGATAGGTTTTTTTTTGTTGTGTTTGGAAAAGAGTGCCTGTAGCAACAAGAACAAGACATTCCAATAGTCGAATGGGGGACTCTCTTCGCTCGTTACGTACAACAATTGCATAGAATTATAAATAAACGAACGACAGGTACAATATTGTATCTAGTGAATTATTCGGCGTCGAAATGGATTCATCGATCGTCAATATCACTGGTTAACCCCTATTTTTGGCATTTAGTGGATAAGTTTTATCGACAACGATAACATTGTGAGTGGAACAAATATTTGTCACATTTTTTCATTGTCTCGCTTATAAAACAGTGTTATAAAACAGTGAGAGATTTTTGACATCTGTTATTGATTTTATTCTCAATATTCAGTGCGATTTTGAGAATTTATGCAATCATTTGATCTGCCAAGATTCAATTTATCATTTATTAATATATATATTAAATTATTTTCAAGGAAATTGCACCAAATTTCAAGAGTGTTTTCCCTGTGTTTTTGTTTAATCAATTGTTTGGGAAAAATGCATTATAAATTGTAGCCATTTTCTTGACGCGTAATTTTCAATATTCATATTACTTCGTATTGTTTTAAATTCAGATTAATTTTTTAAGTTATTACTGGGTGATAAAAAATTGGATTTGTGTAAACGTGAGTGGTTAACTTACTTTTCTTTTCTTAATCATGATATTTATTAGTATTTACATTATATATCCAGTATTTACGTTAAAAAAAAATAATATAGGTATATCAAAAATTTTTCTGTGACATATTTGCTATTTATTAATTAAACATTGAACGCATAACGTCTTTTTAACGTGATTAATATATTTTTTTGGGTTCGTTTTTTTACTAGAGTAATTGTTGTGTCATCTTGGGGTGGTTGTGTTTGACACTTATTTTTCAAATAATAATTGAACAAATAAAATCAAATAAAATGATAAATAATGGAGAAATCGGAGATAAGAGAGTGTGAGGTGGATCTCTTCAGGAATCACCTGGTGATAACCTGAGGAATACATCAGAATTTGAAACAAGACACATAATAATAAATTTAAAAAATCTCGTGTGAAAACTAATGCTATCGTAAAACGTTCTATTTTGTGTATTTTTTTTTGCGATTGATGCCCATATCATAAGGTGTCAAAAATCGTCTCGTCCTTTGTTGAATTTTATTACTCAGCATTCAGACATTAATTTAAACTAATGAATTGTATTGTTTTATGTTCTCAGAGAAAACAATGTCCCTGTGATTTTAAAAATAATATCAAAGATCTGAACGTAGAGAAGTTTTTTTACAAAAACCTAGGAATGGCGAACCAATTAGGAATATTGGTGCAATTATTTCTCATATTGCTCAACACAAAATATGTTTTTTTGGCGTCACCACATCCAAAATTGCTCGTCGTGTCATATGACGGATTCAGGTAATATAAACATACATTTTTTTTCTAAAAAAATATTCTATGGCAGTGCATAAAGGGAATTATTCCCGCCAAATATTCATTTACTTGGAAGACTAATATTCAATTTTTTTGTGTTGTATTTTATGCTGTATTTTTCCCTTTCTTTAAGGTTCCACGATTATAATCATATTACTTATCTAAATCATCATGTTAATCATAACTCTGAATGGCCTCTGAATTGTAATTATTTTTTCATGATAATACGGGATTTAGTGAATAATAAGTCATTTTTAGAGGAATTCATTCAAGAATATATGCGAAGTGACTAGGATCTTGTGGAAATGTGTAATTATTCCGAATGAATGGATATTTCGTTAAAAAAAAACTTGGACTCTCAGTGGAATTATTTAACAAAAGTGAGATAAATAATTTAACACTATTATTTATTTTTTTTAGATACGACTACTTCAATAAAAATATTACACCTTTCATGGTCCAGATGAAAGAAGAGTGGACGGATGTAGAGTACATGACGAGTGTGTTCGTGACAAAAACAATCCCAAATCACCACACTATTGCCACCGGATTTTATGCTGAAACCCATGGAGTGCTGGAGACTGCTCTTCTGGGCCCCGAAGGTTACCTCAACCTCTCCCAGGAATTGTTCACTTATAATAAGAATATTCTACCTATTTGGGTGAGAACCTAATGAGCTTATCGTAAAGCAGGATGTAAGAGAGAAAGCATTTTGGCATCACTAATAATACTTAACAATACTTCTACCGAATCATTTTCAAAATAACAAATATCTATGAAGTCTCCATTTTACGTGAATTCTCAAGTTGTAAAATCGTTTAAAATTCTATATTTCAGACTATCAATGCACTCGATGGCGAGGATAGGTACAGTGGCACGATGATGTGGCCTGGAGGTGAATACAAATATCGGGGGATGGTCGTACCTAGTCATGTCGTGGTAAATAATCAACCAATCTTCAAATAGAACAATGGATTTTGTTAATATTCGGAAAATAACGTTTTCGAGAGGAATCGGTATACATCGGCAAATTTTCGACCGGTCGATCTGAAATTTCGTCGAGATATGCTCCCAAATAATGCCCATTATTCCACAAAAATTCAGATTTTTAGCTTGAATTTTACTCCTTTTCATAAATTCGTTTTTTTCTGAAAATCGAAAAGTCCGCCTCCTCATACAGTCACACCTTTACTTGAAACTTCGTATTTTGATATTTCAGAGAAAATTAGACAATTGTCAAAATGATTCATTGCAAAGCTTCCATTCGAACGCAAAACTCAGTGTTTATAATAGTGCATCTTAAAAGTGCCCTTTTCGAAACGAATAGAGCATGATTTCTCCCTTTGCTCCCACATAAAAAATATATAAAGCAATCCCCATCAAACAGTTTTAAAGAAAATTAATTTACGCCAATATACTATATTCCCAAATATATTTTACAAAATACAGAACAAAATATGTTTCATACTTCCTTCTTACGTAAAAGATTCTGTCCATAAACGTTCGCTGATTGCTTGTTTGATTCTATCCTAGTGAATCGATTGTGTCTATACCCACGTCTGTGGGAATAGAACTGTGGTAAAACATACAATTTACTAATTCATTTAACGAATTACCCCAACTAGAAGTAATGAATACTGGTATAGCCAGTGAAATGTTTATTTGAAATGAATCGTAATGTCTTTTCAAGTTTTTCAGTTATTATCGAAAAAATAAAAGGTCTCAGGACTAAATATGATAGAATCTTTTTGTGATACATTTGCAGAAGATGAAAACGTTCCTCGTACTGTTCAGCGAATTTAATGTGCTCTTTATTCATATCCATAGAGGAAACTAAAAAGACAGTTGCGTTTACTAGGGCAGGAACGAGAGTAATAAAATTTTAATTTGTAGCCGTTCAACATGGCGATGCCCTGGAAGGTCCGAGCAGACAAAGTGATATCCTGGTTTCTCGATGAAAAAAATCCAGTAAACTTTGCAGCACTATACATCGAGGAACCCGATTTCCACGCCCATGGTCTAGGCACTCAGCACCCAAAAGTCAAGGACTTATTGCGAAAACTCGACGACTTCACTAAATACCTCCACACTAAATTAGAAGAACACAATCTCCATGACGTGAATGTAATCCACTTGAGTGATCATGGCATGGCTGATGTTACCATGTCTAAAATAGTAAATATTACGGAATTGGTGGGCAAAGATGAGTACGAGGCTGTCACCACTACCTCTACGATGTTCATAATGCCTCACGAAGGTAAATTGATTAATCGAACTATAATCAATACCCGTTCAATCAATTATGATGCCTTCGAAAACTTTCAACTGGTCTTTTTCTAGGCAAGGAACACAACGTTTATAATAAATTCAAAGCAGCAGCTAATAAAACTGGGGCCTTTGAAGTCTGGTGGAAGTATGAAATACCAGAAAGGTATCATTATGGGAGCAATAGCAGGATGAGCTCAATATTCGTTGTTGCGAAGGTTGGGTATGCATTTGAGGGGCTCTATGATAGTTTTCCTTTTTATCAGTCTGCATTCAACATTACAAGTAATTATTTTGTACCTATTAATTGAACTATAAACTATTAAACTATTAAGGAAGATGTAGCTTATTACTAACATTTATAATAATTTTTATTTGTTTTTCCTTTCACTTTCAGTCACCAATGCATCGGTATTTGGAGTACATGGCTACGATAATGAGGATCGTAGAATACGGCCAATGTTTTTCGCCAAAGGCCCAGCATTCTTATCACATTGCAAACTAGAGCCCTTCCACAATATCGATTTACTGTCACTCTTTTGCAATATTCTTCATATTTCCGAATGTCCCAGCACTAATGGGACTCTGGAGGTTTTTAAACCTTGCCTCAAAGAATATGAGGATCCATCAAAAGACAAGAGTGTCTGTAAGTGTCTACTACTATCTTAAAATATTTATTTTTTATTGCTTCCTTCTGGAAGGACGATGACAACATGTTTTTTCGATTATCTAATTTTGTTGGGGACTTTATTAAAATTTTAGGAAACCTCTAGATTTGAAGTCCTTCTAGTTTTCAAAGTTTTAATTTATATTCAATATCACTATAATTGATATAATTATCACTTAACAATGAATCCTGTTAAATCATTCAGAAGAGTCTTTCATTGTTATTTAGACTCTTTCAGGACTGATCGCTCTAATTTTTTATCTCTACGAATTCTATAAAATTCTTGACATTTGTACAGTTTTCGAGATTTATCACTTTTAGACATTTTTTATTCTTTCACTTCACTTGACGCTAAATCAGGATAGGAATATAATATTAGTGAATAATTTCTCATGGATATTCAAAAAGAAAATTGCTCGGGGTCTATGCAGAAGCGTCAATGAAAATGGTAGAATAAAAAAATGAAAATACAAATACCACTTGAAGTAACAGTTATATACATTCTCAAAGTAACTAACTACTTATTTTTTATTATAGATGCAGCGCTAATCAGTATGATAATAGTCATCTGTATCGTCGTCTTGGGAACCCTCTATTATCTCAGAAGAAGCCGAGAACAACGATATTGGCATGCATACAAGTAATTCTCATTTAAAATAAATCTCTTTTCTAACTTTGGAGAGCTTGACCCTGCTTATATTCCCCAGAGGACATCCACTATTTCATTTAGTCAAGTAGATTTAAATTTCGTTACTTACGTGGAGTTTTGTATATTTTTTTTAAATACATTCTGTATTTTTTACTGAAAACAAGGTAGGATTTTTCCAGTACTCCATATTTAGGTTGTAAAATAGATCATGTATTTTCAGGAGACCAAACTATGAAGGGTCTGCATAAAATTTGAAGCGAGTAATTTCTTTTTTTTATTGACATAATTATGTAGTGCATGGGTAGAAGCTTTTCTGCGTGTGTAACACTTTGTGTGATTTTTTTCTTTCACCTGACCGTTCTTCAGGGCTTTTTGGGTTGTTGAATTAATTGGAGTGAGTTTCAGGCAAATACTTGACGACGCCAAAATGGAACAGTTGTGGGACGATCATCAGGACGTGGAAACGATGTGATAGTAGATGAGTTAAGTTAGGAAAAGAAAAAGGTGGATGATTGAAGTTGAGTCCAAAAAACTTGTAGAGTATTTCTCAATATGTTATTGGAAGATATAACCACTTGAATTTTCCTACAACATAACTGGTTTTCAAAACACTCAGAATCGGTTACTAAAAATTTTGGCCCCATCTTCACTTTCTTTGCCCCACAAAACATCTTCAATCCTCCAAAATTTCCTCTTATTCTTCGAACTTAATTTCCCATTTATCTTAATTTTATTGATTAAACTTAATATTCCGCCATTTGAATTAATATATTGAAAATTAGACTAAATTGATTGAACGATTGAATCAGAAGAAAAATTCAACAGATTGTTATTTAAATATTTATTCAATTGTCCGCGATTCACGTACCTCAATTTCTCTTGTGATTTACAATTATCAATGTACAAAAATAAATTACCTCTCTATAAGAATTGAGATCGATTGGTACTTGTTACTTGGAGAGTTTCAAACATTCGTAAATTTTATTGCATTTCAATTGGGCGCATAAGTCATTCATGAATGTAACGACGTGGGAGTCCTTGTCCTTTTGTTTTCCACTCTCGTAGACTATTATCAAGGTCATTCGGGGGTCTATATTAGACATTGCATAAGTTATTGGATCTTTGCTGCTTTTTACGTAAAGGATTTTGTCCATGTTGAGGAGCTCTGCACATCGCTCTTTGATTGCTTGTCTGATTGTGTCCCAATGGATTGACGGTTTCTGTATTAATATCTGCGGGAAGAATACAAGGTCAAATTCACTAACTTATTTCATACTAAATCAGTCAACTCTTGACCCTCACCTCTTTGAAAATTCATGTCCATTTTTTGTACAATTATTGAACTTTAAAAATTACCATTTGAATTTTTTACAAGATTTTTCTCCCACCGCAATTCGGATTTATAATGTTTGTTTTGTTTTTGACTTTTTTTTTTAATTTTATCTGTCAGTTTTTACTTCGATCAGCGGGAAAACGTCTTAAGTTCTTATTGCCATCTCTGGACAAGAAGTCTTGGTAAAAATACGTGTAAAAATTTTAATTAACAAAATTATGTCTATTCGGTGAAATACCGTGCAATAGCGTTGATGTACATTCATAATAAACCGCGTGAATAAGTGGAATTGGGTTTTGGAATGTTTTGATTAAAAATCCGAAATTTCGAGAAGAAAAATAAATTGATTCAGCGGGATATCTAACTTGAGTGACGGTTGCAAATACTTGTGTTAATTATTGGAATTCTTAAAAAAAATGGAACAAATCAAAAGTCATGTAATTTATTGTTCTTCACTTTTCAATTGTTTTTCCGTAAATATTAGTAGTACGCATTTAGAAATTTGAAATTTTCTTCGTTTTAATCTTGTACGTTGAAAAATCGGCAAATTTTGTCGCTTAACAAATAAAACGAATAGAACAAACAAAAAGAACGTGAGGTTTTAAGAAAAAAATTCCAAACTCATATCTCCGAGGTGGAAAGTCAAAAAAATCTGGAAAAATTTGAAAGATTTATTTTCAAGTTCTAAAAGGGCGACTAATTTCACAAATATCTAAATAAAAAATTCATGACATCATCATCAATGAATGAAATATTGAAATGCATGAAATTCAAATGAAATATAATTTTTCAACTGATCCCGATATAATTTGAACTCTTTCATTTATCTCGAAACCGAACAATTGCAGGGGTGAATATCATAAGATTTTTTTAATACAAAATTGTAATGCCCCAAACTTTTCGAATTTTGTTATTTTCATTAGATTATAAGATATCTCCCGAAGACAAGTTTCAATGTCGTCGATTATTTAACAAACTGGATTAAATCTTACACTTGGACAGCCAACAACAATGGGAAATTCTTCGTAAATATCAGGTTCTCTGTCTGGGTGTCGGTATCCAGGGCCTGAGTTCTCAGCTCCACGGGCATCAAACATGATCAAGACAGCCAAAATGTCCCACTTCCTTTGGAACGTTTGAACCCTGAACAAGTGAATAAACAAATAAACCCATTGAATCAATTACTTGAATATGGATATATCAATTCAGGAGCAAAAAGTCGACCCTATTTCAGATAATAAATCATAATCATCACATGATCTCACTGTTTTCTTCCATTGATTTTAAATAAAAATTATATGTCATCCTTTCTTTTTTTTTCAGTATACAGACTTGATTCATCCCTGCAAAGAAAATAATTCAAGTACTTGTGGTAATAGTCGAGATTCTGTTTACTCATGATATTCCTCATCTCCCCCTGCGTTGCCTGTTGGCTCAAGGTCGTGTGGAAATATAGAGAGCATTTTGCTAAAATCGCACCTTTCAGTTTCACCAGCCATTGATAAAGAGCTGGTTGTTGATTAGCTTTGAGAAACGTGGCACCGAATCCCAATTTCCAGGACTAGAAGTCAATAATTATGAATTTTATTTAGTCAACTCGATTTCCGGCCGCTCCAGTGAAATGTTACAATGTAAACATTTATAAATTATAATTTCATGTAAACTTCTTGTTCTTTTTCTTTCTCCTCACATAATATAATTACATAATTTCGGTAAAAAGGATCTGTTGGAATTTGCAAAAGATTTACAAACATGAAAAGAACGTAAGAGGGACAAAAGCGAGAGATTAATCCTTTCATACTGTAAATTGATTATTACAGCTATTTGTATTTTGCTCCCTTGCCCGGTTTTTGTTAAAAAATTGTATGAAATGTTCCGAAAACATGAATATTAGATATATGCAGTTGTAAACTTGTAACGGAATGTAATTTTCCCCAACCAAATGATATGCGTGAGTTTTTGGATAAAAATACGTTGAGTGATGAGAGACAGATGAACAAAATGCTTCATTGTCAATTTGTTTACAATTTTTCTCTAAGAGAAACTTTTTTTTTTTACAAACCGTAATTCTGTTATATTTACGCTATTTTCATGGTATTTTCGACTGAAGTTTTTGGTTTCTAGATTATATATTAATATAATGTGATGGAGATGGTACTTAATAGTAATTAATAAATTTTAAAAGATTAATCTCGGAAATGTTTTTACTTCTTTACTTTGAAGAGTTCTTTCCCAGGCAGACATCCTTGCTTGTGCGCCATAAAGAGCCATTAAGCTTGATAAAAATCTCCAGTTCCTCACTTCTACTTGTGCTCTCGTTAATTGCACTAGAATTTCACATTCTAATCTGAAAAAACAATTACCAAATTTTTATTGATCAAATGGTCAGTTATAAGTGGGAATGGAATTTCTGGGAAATAACAATATGAACGCTCCAATGACGTCGACAATCAATCTTCTTGAAAAATCAATCTTTTGAAAAATTGTATTAATGTATCTGACTCGATTCTTCGGTGAATAAAAAATTCTTTCAAATTATAAATATAAGTGAAACACTGACCCTCACCCCTTTCAAAATTCAGACTGATTCTTCCACCATTAATGGATTTAAAAAACAGTGTTTCAATTTTTTTTTTCAAACTTTTTCGATTGTTTAATTCGATAATATTGTTTTTTGATTTTTTAATTAAAAAAAAAAATCGTGTTTAATAATTCATTAGATTTTTAATTATTCTCCCTTTCGAAATAAGTAATCGAATATTTCTTACGTCAGTGCAGCTTTAATGGCAATCAGAGCCATATGTGAGCATGACAACGAATGTGCATCGACGATGCTATCAATAATCCCCAATAATTCCTCGTGTTTCATAGATTTATTGGCTAAGCTCATATGATACATCTTCTCATAGCTGAAACATCAAAATAATTGTCAAAAATCAAATTCTCAAAAACTAAGAAAGTTTCGACCCGAAGAAACAGCCAACGAGTGGATATATTCGAAATAAAAATAAAGTAGTTCTTCTCACAATTCGATCAACTGTATTCTAGCAGTGATAAACTGGCAGAGTTGATTAGATACTTCAGCAACAGTGGCTCCGATTGTGTTTGTCCCCCTCGTCATCTCCTCGACTCTTCTTAAATCGCCTTTGAGAGACTCGTAAATGGTCTTCAACGAGTTCTGTATAACAACAGAATTATTCATGATTTTGTTTTTTCTATTGGAAAAGATGTGATAGTAATGAACAATGAAATACATCTTTACGTAGGAATCCCTTATTTTTCGTGTGGAGAAAACCCAAATCTGCGTAGGAACGTTCAGCAACGACTACCTGTGGAAGGTGCATGAGAAGCATCCCCCAGGGTCCCATCTGAGTCAATCGACATGACTCTCTCTCCTTTTCCTGATAAAATAAATGGATTATCACTGATCAAATAAATAACTGATCAATAAAAATCAAATAACTGGGCAATTAGGATAAACTGCAATTTTTCTAATCTATAGTAGATGATAAAAAAAAGTATAAAGTCAAAATGAAAATCTATTTTCTTTGAATATGACGTCGAACATCGAATATATTAGATTTAATATATCGAATATATTCCGATAATTATTTGGCAAAACTCCTACGTTTACATTATTGTTTTTGAGTAACAATTGAAGAACAATTACCACAGACTCCTTGGCCTTTTCGAAGCACAGCTGAGTTACTTGGGTGAAAAAAGTATTCAAAAATTCCTCCTCGTGATCCATTTTTATCTATTCCATATTGTGTCACTCGATTGAAGTAAAAACTAACAATTAGAGAGACATTTGACTACATTATAGAATTGGGAATGGTCTTTTTGCTTCATGATTTGTCGAGAAACTTTGAACTGGTAAAAGGGTCAGAAGATAAATATTGGTAAATATATAACCGCACATGGAGTTGAATAGTGAGCTGCAGCGGCTGCAGCTAACTTCAGGTGATTTGACAGGTCAGGTTATGTCAAAGTACAATACAAGCGCCACAAGGCAGCGCCCAAGTAGAGTTACTCTCTCTCCTTTCTCGCTTTCTCTCTTTCTCTCATTGAATTAAATGGGCGGCATTTCTAGAAGTAGGAGACCAAGAGATTGAGAATAGAATCCCTTCCACATCCCCTACTCTGAGTTGACCTGTCAAATTGTCGGGCGATTGTTTGTATTCGAAAAATTGATACTTTATAATTCATCAGCCAATCAATTCCCGATCTTCAAAACAATCATCAGGAGTTTTATCGAGGGGTGAGTTGAACAATTGAATAAATGTACGTATTGTTTAGGGTGGAATAGAGATACCCTTTCCATTCAACGCAAATGCAATTTCAGACATTGTTGGCCCTTTTTTCTGCAATACCGGTGCTAGACTCCTCTCCTTCACTATATTCATTTCCGACTATTTTCATATATCTCCATTGAAACGGATGTGGAGAATTATTTTTCACTGGTTAATTCCTATCGAGTGGAATTCAAGTGCAATGATAATATATTGATTGAAAAAAGTGTTTGGAGCGAACTAGCACGAGGTGTCTCACACTCTATTTTTTTCTGTTTTTGTTAACCTCGTGGTAATTACGCCCTTTGTTGTCGAGGGGTAATCGTTTGGGATTTATTTTTTATTCAGTGGAAGGAGCGGCTGAGAATTCACCAACTGCTGTGAGATTTATTGGAGAATCATGGAGCAAACTATCAATGAAAAGGAGGAGCTTGTTAAAAAATCTCTGTTTAGCTTCGTCAGGAAGCAAGTACCGACTGCACAATTAAGGTGAGTCTTTTTATCAATTACATTGAAATCATATTAGATTAGAGAATTATAGAAATTTCTGGAAATCATCAAATCGATAAGTTTGCAATCAACTGTTTACTACTTTTTGTCTCGTATATTCTTGTGGGTCTTCACCATTTGTTGTTCGCTTGGCACCCCTCACCCCCCCCCCAATCCAACCCTCCTAAACCCCTGTAATGCATTTGCCGAAGGGAGGAAAAAAACATGCCCTGGTACTCTGGTCCTTTCGACAGGACTATCGCTCGGCAGTGAAACTGTGATATTAGAGTGCTATAAACTCTGAGCGCCGGTGCCCCGGAACCTGGATAATTGGCATGCTAGTGTTGCACTCTAACCGCACGGCCACTACCCTCGATAACTGTTTACTATTTTTTGATTTATTGATTTCAGTTTGATTGATGACATAGTTCTCTCCTACGTTGTGTCAATGGTAGAAGAGAGTGCTTTAGAAGAGGATTTGGATGTCGAGGGTCTATGTGAGATGGTGTCAGCCTGCCTCCCAGAATTTTCAAGCATCGAGAAAGATGCTGTGTCAAAATGGTTGCTGGATGTGGAGAGTGAACTGAGACAGGACACAAAGGGCTCTAGCGACTGTCAGGCTCATGATCCAATGGGTCAGCTGAGTTTGGCAGCCCTTCTGCCTCCAGATTCCCAGAGAATGAGAGTCCATCACGTTTGTGAGACGAGTGATGCTGGCAGTGACTCCAGTGGAGAATATTTCACTGAGGTAATTCAATTTCCTTGGAGCGATCGTTTGTCTAATTATTTGATTTTGTTTCTCGCTTGCAGCAACAGGAAGCCTCCTGGCACGAAATTTCCCTGCTCCAGGAGATGTTTCCCGCTGCAAGTCCTGCAGAAATTCGTCATTGTCTCGCCATCGCTGATGGAGACATCACTAAAGCTGCTCAACTTGCATTACACAGGCAAGAAGCTGGTCAGAGCATTACCAGTAATCTCACTTATTTAACGGTAAGTTTATTTCAGGTATTGATTTCTAATTTTAATAGTTCTGTAATTAATTGCAAGAATGAGTCTTGTTTGAAGGGGAAAAAAATTGTCCTATTGGATTTTTCCATCAAGCAACTATTGACTCCTCATATATTTCTTCTGAAAATGATTCTATAATAGTCGAAAGTGTGAGAAAATGAAGAATAAAAAAATGATATTTCAAATATTTTTGGCTTTCTCACAAGACTTGGAAGATTCTTTGAATGATTAATATTAACTATTGAATGGTTTTTCCCTTATCTTGGTATAGCCAAACAGACGCGCAAAGGCTAGTGTAAACGATGATGAACTGAAATCCCGCATAATTGCTCGGTACAGTTACGTCGATCGTGATGACGACTCTCGTGAGCATCGTCCAGTGACACCAAAGCGTGAGCCAAAAAAACTGGTTCGCTATTTGGACAATAAAATAGTGAGTGTCAAAGGAGAGCGATACACAGAGATAAGACGTGGGGGAGAGGATGAGGATGGTAACGAGGGTGGCAGGAAGCGGAATCACTGCCGCCCGTAACCAGTAACCCTGCCTCCACCCCCTGATCCACCCCCTTGGAGGCATATCTGATTCTTAATGTTTTTTTCTCCCGTGTCAAGGCGATATTCTTGTTATTTATGGTTTTTTCTAGAAATTCAGTGGAGAAGTTTATGAATATCTCCAAAACCAAGGGAGATAATTGAATTTTTGTTTGAACCTTTTTTGTAGATCTAATCAAGAGCTGGAAAAAAGGTTATTAGAGAAATTTTCGTTTCACCCTTGGTTTTCAATATATTTCTGAAAAACTTGCAGGAGGACTGAATCAATCACTTCACTGCGGAATTTCAAGTTTTGTCAAATTATTGATGAAAATTCTGGGTTACATATGCATTTTTAAATCTGCACATTCGATTAATTTAATGTTTTGGATAATGGGGAGGTCTGATCAGAGTTGTTTTCCGTGAAAACAAGGAGGGGGAAAGCTGTGGTATCTAAATTCTCTGCTTATCACCGATTTGGGGTGATGATTTCCTGGAGTTTGGGAGATACCCCTGATGGCTCAATGTTCAATTACGGTGTATTTCATTCCAACATTTTGATTTCCGGGGCATTTCGTCGAAAACCGGATTAAACGAATGAGAAATTTACTGTTAAAAGCAAACTGGATAGATATCTGTACCGAAGTTGTTAAAGTAATTCAAATTCCTCTTGAATATCCAAGAATAAAAGCCAAATTTCAAGATTTTTGTTCTACCTTTTTTTCAGAACTAATCAGCTTCAGAAAAGGTTATTACAAAAATTTTGTTTTCTACTTTAAATTCGGAAATATTTCCGGACAATTTTGTAGAACATTAAGTTGACAAGCTTGAGCCGTTTTACTTTGCTACGGAAATATCGCTTGATCTCAGAACCTACAGATTTTTCGACAAAATGTCAAAAGACCTTTTTTGTAGAAAATTTAATAAGCCACAAAAAGTTTTCATGACGTTTCTACCTGAAATCGATAGTTTTCGAGATAATTCAAGTAAAAACGCAAAGTTTGAATTATTCTAGCACTTTGGTACTGGAATTTAATTATTCTTAACGAATTGAGCGGTATTACCAGCGGCTGCATACGAATTACAGTAAGAATGCGTGGAGATTGAATAATAGTAAATCTCTTTTGAAAGGGTCAGTATGAAGGTAGACTGGCTAGTAGCTTTTGCTTGTCACATCACATTATTTTGTATTTTTTTTTGTCATGATCTTTTCTCTTTCTTGTGACTGATAATATGTATAGACTTTTGTACGTTATAGTTTTTCGAAGATTTTATTTTGTTTTGTTTTGCAAGAATGAACCCCTCACATTTTTATGCACACCAGTCTGCTCCATACCGTTTTAGTATTCTCATGGACTCTCATAAAATAATAGTTGGTACCATATGTGTGAATTTTTTGAGGCATTTCTCCGTAATAATTCGGGGGAAAAGTTGCCGGATAGTTTTTGGGACTGTGTCTATTTACGCGAGCTCACAACAAATTTTCATTTGGATTTTTAAATCCAAATTTGCATGGCTCCATGTGTTCAAGCGTTGTTTACAATACTTTATCCATCTTCTCGGTTTCACTGATAATCAGAAATCAAAATAATTATTAATCACGTAATTATACTGTACCACGGCAAAATGCTAATTTATTCATTTTTTTTACTCAATTGTGAAGTGATGAAATAAGATGAATCCAATTTTTTAATATGGATTCCACAAAAAATATTGCTTTTAGAGAAAAATGTTGAGGACTTTTTTTCTTGGAAATTTAATTAACCACCACAAAAGTTTTCTAATGTTTCTGCCTAATATCAATACATTTGTCGATAAATCGACAATTAGTGAAACTCGATTTGTCTAATTTCAATCACTTCATACTGATCTTGAATATTAGTCAATAAGTACGATCAATAATTGGCGAAATCATAGCTTCTCTCACGCCATATTATTTGACAGTATTAATATTGTTATAACAATTGATAATGAAACATTCTTAACTACTATCAGGTGTACTGAAAATTTGAGGGGAGCACATAGAGGAAAAATCAATATCTGTGAATACCTGAATAATTCACAAAAAAAAATTCCCCTAAAAAAAATCGTCACGTAAAAAATTGCCAATTTTATTTCAATGAAGTGTCGAATGAACCGAGTGAATAATTATAGCCTCGTAATTTCATTTTCTTCACGAGAATTTAAGAAACCCAATTATAAAATATTAGCATTTGCCAGATGTGTAGAGATAATTCGAAATCATTAGAAGTCTTCACGTAGTGGGCAGTGATATTCTTTAGGATAAAAAAAAAACATTACTGTAGATGTTTCACAGTGGGCCGGTCCTTGCCGTAGACGTAAATATAAAGATTTAAAAACTGATTAGAAATTATCGTAGATAATAAATACTATTATATTGTATGTAAAATTACGGAGAACACGAGCGACAAAATTACCTACATTGAAAATTAGGTATTATTGTTTAGAAGAAAAAAGGGAAAAAGTCATGAGAATAATATTACAACTCGATTTTTATGATTGAGCAATTAAGCAACTTTTGGAAAAAACGATCAATCATCTTATTTGAATAAGTTTTTCTGCGATTATGAGAGATCTCAACTGCTTTGACTGTTTCCTGCATTGATATTAACATACATAGATATATATACAGTGATCGTACCTTTATTATAATGATTACCATAACTATAGCTGTAGAGGGAGTGATTACAAACCACAAAGAGAATAAAATTACAATTGTGATTGTTAAATTCGCAAATTGTAATTATTCTATGCCAATAACGTGTACAGAATTTATCGAGCATTTCGATTTTCTGGTGTGTGAACAAAAAAATCATTGTAAAGAACATTGTAATTCTTTTTCATTCATATTTTTTCGTAATCATGATTGTGAAAAAAAAAACTGTATTTATGTCGGCTGTAATTTTTTTATTTTCTGAGAGCCATGAATGATTTAAGGATTCAATAAAAATAGTTAAGAAAAGAAAACCAAACAACTCCACAAAATTCATTTCACTCAAGTTTATTCATTGATTTATTCTCCTCCATTGTAAAATTACAAATAAACACGGTTGAAATTTATTAAATCGGTGTAGTCCGACAGTTATAAATAATATTAATACCTTTTATAATATGGAAAGGGACGATTATAATTGTTTAAATTTTGACGAATTTTCTAAGGAATTGGAGATGAATACTCGCACACAATCGTCAACTTAAATTACCTAACAAAAATGATGAATCCCTCGATTTGTAAGGACATTACATTTACTAATCTCGAGAGAGAAACGAACCGATGATGTAAAAATGGTAGAAAAATTCCAGTCTGTGCATAATGAAGGGGACATAAGGAACAGATTAAGAAAAAAAGGTAAACGATCGAATGGGTGATTTCACTTCTTCTTTTTCCTCGGCTTGTCCTGTGGAGCTGGTAAATTCTCCTGCTTCCTCTTTCCAGTCGGTTTTGTCCCAACATTTCCCCCCTTTTTCCTCCTCTCCTGTCTCTCCCTCTCCTCCAACTCCTGATTCTCCCTCTCAATGAGAGTAATCAGGGTATTGCATCTTCGTTGTAATTCCAATGCAGTTCTGGATTTGACGAACCAATCAAATCTAAATTGTGGGGCAGATCTGACAGTTGCTCTGAGCTCCTCGTAAACATTCTCCTTGTCGAATCCCAGTTTATGGAGCATACAAACTAGGAATCTGTCCTCCTCTTCAGTATAATTTTTACCTTTGTTAGTGCCATAAGCTATTCGCAATTGATGGAATGGTGCTCTGTATCTCGCCATTTTGGCATCAAGTGCTTTTTTTATTCCAGCACGTCTCTGAATTTTCGCTTCTCCCCTCTCAATCTGCGCCATGACTCTGTCGATGTCCTGGAGCTCATGGCAACGCTCCCAGAATACAGCCGAGTACTCCATCACCTCCTCAGGAGTTTTTCCCTCCACCTCCTTGGCAATATTCTCAATATCGTCCCTCCCATACTTCTCATTTGCCTTTATAAACTGATTGAAGTCTCGTTTTGTCCAATTTGTAAATCCCTGTGTAAGTAATTTTTCCTTTTCAGTGACCTCATCATCAGAGAGTGGCTGAGCATCATCAATTTTCCTCTGCTCCTCCTTCTGCACTCGTGCAGCCTCAGACCCGAGTTCAGGATTTTTTGGCACCTTGTAACCAACAGTTTGACGGAAATAATAGATTTCCTGATCGAGAAGCTCGAAGAGTCTCGGTGGAAAGAATTGAAAGTCCTGAACGATGGGCTGTTTTGGTGGCCTTGGAGCTTTGGGAGCTTTTGGCTCAGAGACCCTGAGTGCCTCTCTAAAATACGCATCAACGGCGTAATTAGCTTTCCTCTCACGTTTTGGTGGTTCAATCCAATTCCCTATACCCAGTATCTTCTGCTTCTCACGATAATCCTCTCCCTCGAACTGATACACCGAGTCTGTGGGTGCATCGACTGTGAAATTCCTCAGAGAGCTCTCCCCCAAGCTCTCAAGCTTCTGCTTCATTTCCTTGGTCTTCAACTCCCCCTTCTCCAAAATTGTGTCAATGTCTTCGTCAGTTATTGCACTGTCTTTCGATGCAAATACTGCATTGGCTCCATGTCTGATCATATTCAGCATCTCGTCTTTGTTAAGGGCTGTCTGCTTGGCATCAACGAGTCTCCCCTGCTGGATCACGAGTTTATCCAGCCGGAGTTTGACTTCAGCTCGTTCAACAATTTTCTCCTCGACAGTATTCTCTGTAATAAATCTAAAAACACGTACTTGTTTCTGCTGTCCAATCCTGTGAGCTCTGTCCATAGCCTGAAGATCCATCTGTGGATTCCAATCAGAATCGTAAATAATAACGACGTCAGCTGTTGCTAAATTAATTCCAAGACCACCAGCTCGAGTTGACAACATGAAAATAAATTTTTCACTGTTTGGAGCGTTGTACTCATTGATCTGGCGTTGACGATCCTCGTGGGCTGTATTTCCATCCAGTCGACAGTACTGGAAGTTTCTCCAGTGGCAGTAATCCTCCAGAATGTCCAACATCCTCGTCATCTGGCTGAATATCAACACCCTGGACTCCTGCTGCTGGAGTTTTGGCAGGAGTTTATCAAGAATAACCATTTTACCACAGTTGTAAACCAGATGCTCGTCAGTGGTGTAAGGGGGTCCTGGTTCAGCTCCATCAAAGAGATAAGGATGATTACAGCACTTACGCAGCTGCATTAGGATATTCTGCAGCCTCATCTTCTCGATTTTACCAGCACCATTGACAATATCAATGTCTTTCATGAGGACTTTAGTGTACCACTCCCTCTGCATTTTGCTCAATCCAATGTACACTTTAATCTCCTTCTTGGGTTTCAGCCCCTTCTCTACTTCGGCCTTCAAACGTCTCAGTAAAAAGGGCCTCAGGACTGCATGCAAACGCTCAACGAGCTGATTATCCCCGAGGAAGCTGTTGGTGTTGAACCAGGAGTCAAAGTCGTCAGAGCTATTGAAGACGTCAGGTAGGAGAAAATTAAGAAGGGCCCAGAGCTCGTGGAGATTATTCTGCAGTGGTGTACCAGTCAGCAATAAACGATTGGCTGTTTTGAATTCTCGAAGAATCTCCGACAGCTTCGACTTCTCATTCTTGATCCTGTGGGCCTCGTCGATCACCATATACCTCCAGTTGAATTTTTTGAATACAGATTTTTCTTTGATGACCATCTCATAAGACGTTACACATACGTCCCACTCCCCTGGCATCATAACGTCTCTGATAAATGTATTCCTTGTCTCAGCATCACCAATTAGACAGACAGCCCGTAACGTTGGACACCACTTCTTGAATTCATTCATCCAATTGGCTAGTGTGGACTTTGGTACAATGACAATGTGAGGCCCTGGGATGCTCCTAAAGTGCTTCATGTACCCAAGGAGGGAGATTGTCTGAAGGGTTTTACCGAGACCCATCTCGTCAGCTAAAATTCCGTTAATTCCATTTTCGTAGAGAGATATCATCCAGTTTAATCCTCGAATCTGGTAGTCTCGCAGTTCCCCGGATTTAACGTAATGGGGTGATGCCTCGAATCGTGTTGTGGGTGCTACACTTGCATTACTCTCTGCCAAAAGCTCCTCGTCCTCTTCCTGCTCGGTTTTTCTGTGTCTGTGATCACTGGCATTGTCTGTGGGTTTGAGGTTGGCTTCTGGCTGAACTTTTCGTGGACGTCCTGGACGCACTTTCAGTGGACTCCCTGCTTTGTCCTTCTGGTTGTTGGTCATAAAGTGAGAGAATATCTCGGTTTGTTTGAGGAGATAGTCGAAACGCTTGGAACGATCTGTCTCCAATTTAGTCTCGAAGTCACCGCCACGAGACGATGATGTTTCACCTGAGGACTCGTTGGAGTTTTCACCATTGTCACCGGGTTCACCTCCTTCCTCTGATTTTGACATTTTCACGATATCACACGCGTTTTTTCGCGATGAAAACTGCGAGATTTAACGCGGAGTTGTCAATTTGCGATGGAGTTTTAACGGTTTTTTCTTGCCAAATTACCGGGCACGCAAGCTTTCGATTATGATAGTATCATGCCAGATGACGCCATTTTAGATTTAAATCCCTCCAAAAGTCCGCTTCACAGGCGCTAGACTGGAGGGGAGAGAGACGACGCCGCAGCGTCTGGCTTCTGCTCATGCGCCACGATGTGTTTAAATATACTTCCGTAGCGGTCCTATTTGAAATGTTGATTGATCGATTGATTGCTCCAATTGATCTAGTATTGTGCAACAAAACCTTTTTATTACTTAATAAGTAGCAGTGGGACTTTTCAGGTTATCGCCTTGAGATTTTATTGATTTCTAAAAATTTTTACTGGTAATTGTAACTTTATGAAATCCATAAAATAGTTTGATAATTGAGAATTAATAAAGTCTGTTTCTCAAACTATAAAAATGATAACAGATTCTCTGCCAGTTTTGTAATATTGATTTTATGTGAGTCGTGATAAGAATAAGGTCTCGTTAAAATGTCTTTTAGGTAGAGAAGTCAATACTTGTTGTCCTAGCAACACTCCTCCCTTTTAGATATCAACAATTAGCCGGAGTACTTCAGTAACAGTATCGTTCCAATCGAGAACATAAAATTCCAATCGTATCATATTAAAATAAATAATAATTCATCCGATCATATTTATCGAGGAAATGCCTTTGGTGGACAGTGCTTATTGTTCAAGACCCATCAACGTTCCACCCCATCTGCCATTGATTTTGAAACAATTCTGCAAAGCCGCAATCAGAACACAACCGTATGATCTCCTCAAATGGTCAACCGCTTATTTCCGAGCACTTGCCGAAGGAATTGAACCCCCAGCCAAAATCAGACTTGAATATCCATTGCCTGGAACAATATCCGGTCTTACTTTAGGATTTTTGAAAGTCCTATTACGTCAATTTGGTGGTAAATTCTGAAAATAATGCAGAAAAAATAAGAAATTATTCAGAGAATAATGCTCAACTATTTTTCAACAGATTATAATAAAGTATTCCCGGTGGAGACGATTCTACGTCGGTGGGACGACCTGTGCCTCGATCGTCGGGATTTAAATCTCATTATGATTATTGGCAGATTCCGGCACAAATGTCAAGTTAAAAAATTCCTCGCCATTGCAGTGGGTCTTTTAGGCACAACTTTGTTCGAGACAATGCTTTTGATTTGTGAATTATTTACGTTGGAACCTGATGGTGGCTCTGGGATGATTCCTATCAGTTTATTCATGGAACTTTACGGGTAATTTTTTTAAAGAAAATTATGTAGAATAATTCCAAGTCTTCAGCTATTTATTCTCTCAGACATTCTAAATTATTCTCTGAATAATTGTCCAGGTATTTGGCCGGTTTGAAGTGCGACGGAGGTAAAAGAGAAGCAGCAGAGGAAGATCCGAGTGAATTCCTCATTCTCGGGCCGTCAGGAATTCTTCCCTCCGGGGCAGATTCTCAGGAAAGCCTCGGGGCAAAGGCTATTTCCCTGACTAGTCAGGATACAGACGTCGATGTAGAGCTCGACTGTGACAATTTGACCGACAATACTCTGCACGAATCGTCGACGGACGTTGGAGAATCGAATAATTTCCAATTGGAGGACAGAGAAAATTCAATGCTTCCTGAAGTGGAAATGGGAATTTCTGTTCAACGCAGCGAGGAAAATAGTGAATCCCGTAGTGAAGGGAGGAGGGGAATCCTTAGTGGAGCTCGGAGTGAACCAGAAGGAGGGAAATTCCGGAGAAAAGGAATGCTGCCGCCGGAATTGTCTTCTCATTATCCAAACATTCCAGGTATCGCTGAACTTGGACTTGGGTGTTTGAATAGTTGAATATTTTGACATTTCCACAGGGATTGGGCCTCGATTGTCTTCGGAGCAAGTGGCGACTGTTGCAGTCTGGATGACAGAATGTGCTCGACTCCAGGAGGGAATGGTGGGCCCTCGCAATCTCCGACATTTTCAATGTCCACCTCTAGATCGCCAAGACTCACTGACATAACGAAAATATTAGAATTTCTATCCTTCTCATTCTTAATTCCTCGTAGAACCAATTGGTTATGCATGGGCAATTATCAGATTAATATAATAGTTTTCATAATTGAAAAACCTTGTATTTCAAGAAAAATATGTAGATATATTTACAGATTCAGCACAAAAGACTAGCAATCAAAAGTATTTCCTTAATGTAAAATAAAAGAAAAAAGATAGATCTTTTTCGGCTCGACTAGAGTTTTTCTTATTCCAATGATTTTGAGCAAATTCTTATTGTTGTTAAAATTGAAATTTCTGTGATTGTATCACAGAAATTGGAAATGAGAGAAACGAGAATGGAGATTCTCTTTTTCAGACAATCAGACTAGGAATCGACCGGTTCCGAAAAAATCGCCGTATTTGATGGTGAAAAAAATGATAAATTGTAATAAAAATTAGAACACAGACTAACGACAGTAGAATATTCCTAGCTCTTGTGCGACTGGCCCTCCACTCGTACAAATCATTCCGATGGGAGAATCTGTTTCTGTACTGCGATGGTAATTCAAAACTGCTCTTCAGAGGATAAATCGAGCGATAAAAATCGCTGAGGAGTGCACGCACCACGTCATTCTCACTATTCCTCGAGGGATCCAAATCGTCATTCAGACAGATGAACTTTTTTGGCTCCTGTCTTATTTCGTCGAGAATTTGAACTGTCAGCGATACATTACTAGTCAACATCTCGAAAATTTCATTTTTCCCAGCCTTCAAGATCTCGTGTTGATATCGTTTTCTCACCCCAAACTGATTACGAAGATTTCCAGCAATTATTTCACATCTAATTATCAATTCTCTCGTCACTATCGGTAGACTCGAGTCGAGATATCGTTCCCCTGGTGGCACCTCTGGTGGAGATTCTAATTTCATTTTTTCCGAGCAATTCTTTATCGAATTCTCGAATTGGAGAACGAAACTGTAGTCCAGGGGCAGAGGATGCATTCTTGATAAAAGTGTTCTTATCTCGCGATCCGACCATGTGCCAGACTTGTCGGTATCGAATTTATCGAATAATTGTCCAGTCGAGACCAATGTCTTCTCACTTATTAAGTAATAAAAATAGGAGAATGCAAATTGCATGTCCTCTGGGTCTCTGATGGAATGTGACGACGTCTTCTCGAATTCATTTTGGAATTTTAAGTGCATTTCGTCGACGATGAGTTTATCGACGAGATGGGGCATGTGAGCTGGCACTCGACGTCTTTCAAACCCATAAGCTGCATTATAAATTCGATTTACGTACAGCAAAGATTCAGCATAAGTATCCAGCCGTCTAGCCTTTCTCTTCAAATGACTCGGCCTCAATTTCTGGTTCTGATTCCCATTGACGTGCACCAGATTAATTATATCATCGTTTTTATTCTGGATTGTTTTTTTGTTCATTGGGTGGGCGAATTCGTATTTAAATGCTCGACCCTCAGTCGTTAACTCCAATCGTGTGGCATTTTTGTCATTCTCTGGCAAAATGCTCTCCAATTTTTCATTCTGACTTTGATTTCTATTCAAAGATAAAGACAAAGAGACGTTTAAAATACCTGGTGATACACTAGAAGTCAGCGGATTGGAGAATTCATAATTTCTACGAGTCTTCAACAGCTCCAGCAATCTCAGAGTCTCTTTGTGCTCGTACTGATTGCTCTGTAGCAATTTATAGGGGTAATCCCCATCTTCTTCGAGGCCAGCACTCTCTGTTGGACTTGGAGTTGAGTTGCAATCTCCTCCGTCCAGCTCACAACTTGTTGTGTTGCAAGCCAAATCGCAAGAGCCATCACCAACCCACGACCAGGGACAGATGTCAGAGCAATCAGGCACCCACCAAGCGAGATAGACCTTCTGACCGCTGGTCTGCGTCACAAAATCCTCTGGCCAGACTTCACTTCCAAGGAGAACGTCGTCATTAAAGTACAGGAATTTGTCGGATAGCCCTGGGATTTTATGAATGTGGCTCTCGATAGCTGGACTTGAGAATGTGGGTAAGTGGCTTTTGTTGGGGAAAATGTCGTTATGAGTTACCAAGGTCATCCTGGGATTATCCATGTCCAGCCAATTGGGAATCTGACCATTTGTCACAATGTAGACGTGCCTCACCCAGGGTGCGTACATCTCCAATGACCTCAGGGAATATCTCAACTCGTCCTTGTCATTGAATCTCGAAGCTGCACTGTTTACGTTACTCACAGGTACGTATTTCTTCAGGTTATCGATGAATTTTGGGTCTGATCCATTAACCCACGTGTAGACAACATCGATGGGAACGTGTTGACAGAGTTTTCTTTGAAATGACTTCCCCAGGATGTTATCATTGAACGAGTGGAAAACTGCTTCGTATTTCTCTTTGCTCCATGCCAGCCACACCTGAAAGCCATAATAAATAATCAAAAGATCAGGAACAAATTGTACACATGGATCTCAACGATCAGTCTTTGTTTTCAATTGGAAATAGTCAAATTTACAAATAACAGAATTTCTAACCTCCCCAAAATGTATAATTCCCACGAAGATGCAGGTGAACGCCACCAGGATTATCAACAATGAATACTTGTGGGACAATAAATCATAACACCGTCTCTGGATTAATTTCCATGTACTCATTATACCCACGAGAATGTTCCATGCGATTGTCATCGCTGCTTTCCTGACTCCAATCGCTCCATCGACGCTGAATTATTTTGAGAGATGATTTGAGATCATTTGAGAGACAGTTCGAGCTGGCGCCATCCATCTTCGATCTCTCGATATCCGACCGAGACGACCAGGACTATCTTCAGGGTAATGTTAAAAAAGGAAGGAAACGGCGTCGTATTTCAGCTGAGGTGGATTGTTGTTTACATCCACACAAAGAAGAAAAACTGTTTATCATCCAGTCACATCTGCCCCTTCCTTTTGGAGCTGAAGGCATTGAAAAATTCCCAGTTTATTTCCCCCACAAACGTACACTTCTCCAGGAACAGCCAATTAAATTCGAACAGCTGATGATAATCATTTCGATTGTGTTGTTATAGAATTCCAAAATAGTGCGGTGTGTGCTCGATAATTATAATTAATCGGTGATATTCCCTAGTTTTTATTTGGATATATTTTTCTTGTGAAGTTTTTGAGAGAGATCTAGTTATGAAGGTGACGGTTACGACTCTTGGGGATGATATTTTCGTCCTGGATGTTAGTGAGGATTTGGAGTTGGAGAATTTTAAGGCATTTTGTGAAATAGAGTGCGGTGTACCAGCGCCTGAAATTGTCATTGCTTTTAATGGCAGACCACTGATGGATGATAAAAAATCGTTGAAAGATCATGGTATCAAGGACGGCGACGCTGTCATTCTCCAGCACATGCATCAAAGTGGCGTTGACCTCAATCCACAACCCATAAATGGAGGTAAAAAGCGTTTAGTCTCAGTCTCGAGCACCATTTGAAGATAGTCTATTTTTCTTTACATCATCTGGGTTTTTTTTTCAGCAGTGCCTCTCCTGGATTTCAGCTCGATCAGGATTCCAGGGGCTGCCTCCAGCTCATCAGCACCAGCTCAGAGAGCTCAAAATCCACGGAGTGAAGATGATCCTGCAATGATTCGAGATATGTTTCTAGCTAATCCTGATCAGCTGGCTTTGTTGAAGCAAAATAATCCTAGACTGGCAGATGCTCTCTTATCTGGCAATCTTGGTAATTCACTAGGAATAGATTGAGTTGTTCCATCCGAGATTCGTTGCTCATTAAAATTCTTTTATTTCGCAGATAAATTTTCAGCAGTGCTGAAAGAACAGATCAAAGTTCGCGAGGAACGCCAGGCACAGCGTCTCAGGATGATGAATGCGGATCCCTTCGACACCGAGTCCCAGAGACTCATTGCCGAAGAAATTCGACAAAAAAATATCGAAGCTAACATGGAGGCAGCTATGGAGTACAATCCCGAGACATTCGGCACTGTCGTGATGTTATACATAAATTGCAAAGTCAATGGTTTTCCTGTTAAAGCTTTCATCGATTCAGGTAATGATTACAAATTATCCAATGCAGTGCCTAATTTCTTATCAATTAATTTATCAATTGTAATCTATTGGCTGTGCGTTCATTCAACTATTTCACTGATTTCCATTGTGTCGACGCAAAAAATCACGTTATTTTTCAAGAGGATTCTAAATTTAGATGATTCTCTCTAGCACGTTTTCTCCCAGACAGCAATTAAATCCGATTAATCTGTCCTCAAGACTCGGAGAAATGTAAAAATAATATTTGAACTTGTTTGTTCTTTTGTGTAAGGCGCACAAACAACTATAATGTCCCAGGCATGTGCAGAGAGATGTCACATTATGCGTCTGGTGGATTCACGTTGGGCTGGTGTTGCCAAAGGCGTGGGTGTACAAAGAATCATCGGACGCATTCATATGGTTCAGATACAGATTGGAAATGACCACCTGACCACATCCTTCAGTGTCCTCGAGGAGCAGCCGATGGACATGTTGCTGGGTCTAGATATGTTGAAACGTCATCAGTGTTGTATTGACTTGAAGAAAAATATTCTGAAAATTGGAACAACAGGAACAGAAACGCCGTTCTTGACAGAAGGTCTGTCTAGATTTTTTCTATCCAAATAATATTTGCATTTTCACTTTTATGTAAATTGTAAATTTATTCTTGGAAATGTCCCCTGTCTATTCACGATTTTTAATAAATTTATTCTTTAGGGGAATTACCAGAGTGTGCAAGACTGAGTGGAACCAATGATGGGGGAGTAGATGAAAGAGATTACCAAAGAGTTTTGGAGGACAGTGTGAGGGATGCGAAAAAATTGAGACAAGGGCAGGGTAAGTAAGTATCTGTCCAGGCTATCCCTTCATCGTTCCTAGAATTCCTACGTTTTACCTATCATTGTCACCTTTCCCTCTGCCTGGACGTAGAGCATTCACTTTATTATCAATCAGTCGCTACTATTTCAAAATATTTGAAGAATAGAATGAGTTTTATGGCCACTGATTTATTTTAGACGGCCAAGGCACGAGTAATGGAGCATCAGTCTCCAGCATCTCAACGAATCCAGAGACGACGGTCTCGACGAGTGATCCATTCACAGAGGCTAATGTCAAAGCCATCGAGACTCTGGGCTTCCCCAGAGCCCAAGTTATTGCAGAACTCCGTAGATTCAATGGTGATGGAATGCAGGCGACAGCTGCACTCTGCGCCAAATCGTTGAAGTTCTGAATGTACTTTCTCCACTGGTGGAGTTTATAATTGTGGGGAACAATGGAAATGACATTGACTATGGGATTTGGGACTCTAGATTAATATAACTTGTCTATGAAATCTACTGGAGCTAATACTTAAATGCTCAATGAATATGAACGACTGAATCATTGTGTTCCGTGCATGGGATAATATCGTGAAATTTCCACACCTGTACGCATTTTTTTTCTGCGTTCATTCATATGCGTTCAGTTCACGAAATGATCAAGTGATATTAATTCAACATCTTTATTCACTTTACCACACTGCTACTGATTTTTTTTTGTTCGGTATAAAACATGTATTTACCCAGCGAGCATTTGCCTAAGAGTTTCACGTGGAGGAGAATTCAAAGTAAAAATAACGACGGAAAATGGGAGATGGAAATAAATTGTTGTACTGAGAGATAGCGGTGGTGCATGCGTTGTATTTATTTTATTTTTTTTTAATCACCAGTGAAATTCCAGTCTTGGTCGAAGGATCGAATCAGTGAATCAGTGAATGACCGGGAGCTCTCCAGGATTCCATTTAATTTCAATCATTTTGCCTGTCCTCGCGGACTCTTCACAGGCCGCAGCAATACGAGAGACAGCGAGAACTTCCTCAGGCTTGACGTTGAGCTCACGATGACCCAAAACAATATCCAGGAAATTATCCATCTCCCTTCGATATGCCAGACGAAATCTACTGGGGAATGAGTACCAGATGGGAGCATGTCTGGGTCCATCGTGACCATATTGTGTCTCAACGCAGTGAATTGGCTGTTCGTTCTCAGCCCGAATCATTCCTTTGGGTCCAAAAGCCTCGATACGCATGTCGTATCCGTACGCTGAATTCCTGGACAGATTTATCATGCCCAGAGTCCCTGAGGGGAATTGGAGAGTTGCCACCACAGTATCGACGTCGTCGATGGCTTTTACCTCTGGGAAATTAGCAACTGCCTGAACGGACACCTGACAGAAAAATTATTCATCAGTTCGTATTGCTTTTTACTTGATCAATTGCCTGTAGATTTCGATAAATAATTAAATAATATTTCAATAATATCGATACATTTAATTTAATGAAATGAATAATTAGGGATTAAGGATGAAGAAACCTTGATTGGATATTCGCCGAGCAACCAAGTCATAAGATCGATGTCGTGGACCATGCAGTCGTGAAAAATTCCTCCGGAGTCCCTCAAGTACTCAAGTGTTGGCATCGGTGAGTCTCTGGATGTAATCGACATGATCTGTACATGTCCAACTTCTCCTTTACGCACTCTCTCCCTGACGGTGCTGTAACTGGGATCGAATCGACGATTGAAGGCAGTGAAGAGGGGTCTTCCCACTTGTTTTGCTACATTGAAACATTTTTCCGTGTTCTTTCGATCTTCTGCCACCGGTTTCTCGCAGAATACCGCCTTTCGATTCTCCAGAGCTTTCGTTACGATTCCTTCGTGAGTATATGTTGGTGATGCCACGACGACGACGTCTACACTATGAGATTTGAAAAAAAAAAATTTGAAAAAAAAAATTGGTTATCGATGGTTATTTAGGGGGTTTTGGATATTTTACTTGGAATCTTTGAAGACCGCGTCCGCCTGCTTGCTGGTCAAGAAAGTCACGTCAGTCAATCGGAAATGTTTTTTTATTCTCGGCCACTTTTCTTCCATGTCGTCGATGACGTATAGGAGTTTCATTCTTGGGCTTTCGATGATGTTTGAGAGGTGAATGGTGCCAGCACGCCCTATTCCGAAAATTGCCACTTTCAGGATTGGATCGGATTGCGATGCACATTTTAGCGCCAAATCGTCCTCGAACCTGAGGAAATTCAAGATTTATTGCGAAAAATTATATAATAAATATTGATACATCTTTTAGACTATTCACTCATTTTGGATGGATTCTCAATTAAATTCTAGTCATAAATTTGAATTGGCTTTTTAAATTTTTGAACGCGACAATCAAATGGAATTTAGCCGAATAGTTACACTTTGTAGAGGTAATCCTCTTTGGTTGCTGGAGGTCGGGGCTTTGTAAATGGCGAAGCTTCTTTGAATTTAGCAGTGGCCATTATTTTTTCAATCTCAAATGACGTCTTGAGAAGTTCAATTGCAACTGATCGGACTTTTAAATCCCGTATCTATTTATCGGCCAGCAACAACGGAATCGTGGAAAAATCTTGAAATTTTCGCCTGATAAAGTAATCCGCACGTTTTTCCGATTTTATGTAATAGAAGATCGAACTTGTTTCGATTCCTCTCCGTGACGTCTTCCTGATAACGAGTATTTTGCATTCGTAAGACTGCATTAGTCTTCATTGCGAAAACTGAAGATTATCGAAATGATTTTTATTGCTGTAAATCAACAGATTATGAGGCGATTGTTGATTACAATTTGTGGCACTTTCCACTAAAGTTTATCGATTGTTTGTTCAATTCTTGAAATATTCTAATAAGGACTCGACTATTGTGCAAATAATTATGAATTATTGTCTTGGGTCAGGTCTTGGGCAAAAGTCAGAGAGTATCATCTTATCAGGAATATTCCGTTAATTATGACCTGAGATTCATCTCCTGTAAAATTATTAATAAATTCATTATCCGAGTGAATGAGATCCGAGTGAAAAAGAATTCAACAATAAATTTACAGAAATTTTCTTCATTTAAATAGAAATAAATAAATAACCATTTCCATTATCTATTTTTAAGTTTCCTTCGTATCCATAAATTTTTTATGCAAATCCGTTTTTTTTTTGTCATTTTTAAGCTGGAATTTATTTTATCGGTTAAGATTTAGAGACACAACGAGTTAATTAAACCCGATGCTAATAGATGACGGGGTAATCGAAAAATTGTAATTCTGAACTATCAACTGAGCTGAATTTATTACTGTCGACTGAACGAGGGAGATAGAGGTTTTCTCCAACTTGTAATTTCATTTTCCAAACCGGTCGTACAAAGTATAGATCATGGCAACGAGAAAATTCTCACAAATTCTCTGCACACGAGTTGCAAAATTGAATAAATTTCCAGCACAATTCACATCGACCATCAAATTCTATTCGAGTAAGTAGAAACAATATTTCATATTTATTCCTGAAATTGAAATCAATCGAATTATTCGATCCCATTATCTCCCGCGGACTTTGCCCTTGTTTTCACAGCACCAAATAGTCTGATCAATCATTTTAATAATCAATAGGGGTAAATGTCTAGAACAGGTCCACCGCCCCGATTTTTTCGGTTTTTATCTAGATTTAAGGCTTTTTTCTTCCTCTTTTCGAATTTTCAAATTAATCTCTGGAAACAAATAGAACAGAAGCTACGCGCATTTCTATGCCGCTCTTTGCGTTACCCAGGGCTACGGTAGGGACGTGGAGGTGTTGAAAACTCCGTCACTTCGAGCCCGAAATTCCATTTATTTCTTGGTGGACCTGTTCCAGACATTTACCAAATTTTCCCTCAATTTCATCAATAATTCGAATTATTGTATAAATGTTCTTATCAAATTAGTGTGTGAGATACTGCTTGAATTATAAATGGAAATAACGCGAAGAAACTCCGAGTCACCGAGAGCACTGATAAGAATCGGCGATAAAATTTGATAATTTAATTTTATTTGTAGCGCCGTCAAATGATTACGAATTCATCAAAGTTGAAACAACTGGAGAAAAGCAAAATGTTGCGCTAATAACACTGAATCGTCCAAAAGCTCTAAATGCACTCTGTAATAAATTGATGCTAGAGTTGGACACAGCTATTAATAAATTAGATAATGACTCGAATATTGGAGCTATCGTTTTGACTGGATCTGAGAAAGCTTTCGCAGCAGGTGATTTTATCTTTGCGCAATTTTAGTAAATGACGATTGATCAATTTTATCGAATACCGATTTTCAGGAGCTGATATCAAAGAAATGATGGGCAATACCTTCGCAAACAACGTAACGAAGAAGTTCTTGGAACAATGGAACAGTGTTGCTAACAGCAGAAAGCCTATAATTGCAGCTGTCAATGGATATGCGGTGAATATTTATTGCAGAAGAGTTTCTATTATTTTTCAGGGGAAAGCCTTTTTTAGAATGCATTTTAGATTATAAAGGGGTAATTACTCCCAGGTTCTGCTATTGGGAGTTTTTTTTTTGTTTTACACTCTGATTCAACTTATTCTAGGTGTTTAATTATAATGTAGTTGTGTTACGAGATATTTTGTCCTGTGAATTGGGGATGAATTTTATGATTCTAAGGACTTTTGAATTTGTTGATTTCAACAAAGGAGATATTATGTTATTAATCGGAATTTTCTGTAACATTTAGTGTTGTTAAGACTATTTTCTAGAAAGTTTTCTTATTAGTATTAATAATCAAACGAATTTGAAAAATTCAGCTAGGAGGTGGTTGTGAGGTCGCAATGATGTGCGACATAATCTACGCAGGGGATAACGCGAAATTTGGCCAACCTGAGATCAACCTTGGGACAATCCCAGGGGCTGGTGGTACCCAAAGATTGCCAAGAGTGATTGGTAAGAGCAAAGCAATGGAAATGGTTCTCACAGGCGATCAAATAACAGCTGAAGAGGCAGAGAGAAGTGGTGAGTGTTTGACATAAAATTTTGTTGACTACTATTAAATTATTGACAACTCTTCAGGATTAGTCAGTAAAATCTTCCCAGCTGATAAACTCGTCTCCGAGGCCATCAAAACAGCCGAGAAAATAGCATCCAAGTCGCAAGTAGCTATTGCCTTGGCAAAAGATGCTGTTAATGCGGCATACGAGTCTACCCTCAACGAAGGTCTTCACTACGAAAAGAGGACGTTCCACGCCACTTTTGCAACTGTTCGTTTTCAATGTTTTACGATAATTGCTTACTCCATTTTGCATTTTACTAACTTTATTCTCTCTTTTCAGGATGACCAGAAAGAAGGAATGGCTGCATTTTCTGAAAAACGCTCTCCCAAATTCACCAACAAGTAAACGAATTCCAATTTCAAAATGTAAATAACAGCTATTCCAGAATTTTCGCGTATTTTCGTATTTTTTTAAAGAGGAAAATAAATACATCAGTTGATTGATCTTCATTTCATTTAAAATTATTTTTATTCAAGCCTTACACTATGCAAATATACATCAATAACACAATGTAAAAGTGTAGCTCTTGATCAATGGTACGAGTACAAACTCTTAAATACAATTGATTATGAATGCAGGGATATCTATGAAGACACAAATACGATATTGTCTGAGTAGAACGTGGAGAAGGGCCTAGTTTAAAAAAAAAGAGTGTCAGCAGCGAAGAAATGTCAACATTTCTTCTTTTAACATTTCACCACTGAACTTCTTGTAAATCTCCAGTTAAGTGGAATGCAGACGGAAATTTGCCTTTCAGTTTTTAATTGACCCCACAATAATTATCTGATTTAATGTCACTGAACAATTTATTTTTAAGAACATGGGAACTATCTGTGACCTGAATTTTTAATTCAGCCATTATTTCCTTTGAGTTCCCATTCACTTTATTGGATTCATCTTCTCGGTTCGTCGACCTTCCACCATTTTTTATACTGCCTTCTATCGATCAATAAATATTCCAGTGATAAGACCTCCCCTTAATTTTCTCATTTGACTCTTCCCTGAATTGGTCATTATTTTTTCAGAGATCAATTTTAAATATCAAATGAATATTAATCTAACAACCTCATCGGTCTAGTAAATTAAATGACGTGATGATATGTCAGGTAAATTGTCCGTTGCATTTTCAATCAGTAATAAAAAAGTCCATTAATTAAATATTTATCAATTGATAGATTTTTAATATCGGGTTGAATCTGAATTAATTTTTGCTATCAAATTTTCAAGGTAATGTTTAATAAATAATGGCTTGTGATTGTTGTTTTTTTTTTTTTGTATTCCACTCAACTTCGAACCCCAAACAGTCAAATCCGTGTATTTTTTTCCCTCAAACCACAGTACATTGACTAGCTAATACTAATTACGTAAGTACTCCTTTCTTTAATTAAGATAAACTCCAATTTGAAGACAAGCACGCATTCATAACAGTGATAATGTGGCGTATATCCACGGAATATTATTGTCGAATATTTGAGAAAAGGAGAAATTTATTGTTGTCGGTACTCGGCGAAAGTCAGCCTTTTTGTTTTCAGGTATCTAAAAAACTGAAGAACTATTTAACTAACCAATTACTCATAATTCAAAGTAATGGGCAAATTCTTCCTTCTGGTTTCCTCAAATAATAAGGAAGAACTGTCGGTTTCCGTGCGTTATATACAATTAATAGAAAAAAATCGCCAGAAAAAAATATTCCAAAAATATTGTCGATCTTCATCATTAATTCACTGCATTAATTGAGGAAAAAAATTGTGCCCGTTCAGAAATGAACTAGATTACAGATATTTGTAATAATTGTGGAATATGGGAACATCGGTTTTCATTTACGTATATCACAGTCGTAAGCTCTGCTCCAGAACAAGTACGAAAAAGTCATTTGCAAACAGGAGGAAAAAAAGGGAAAAAAGAAGTTAGCAACGAGGAAATAAGTAACAGTGCCTCGGGGGCTGACTCCACAGTTGTTTTGCTATAAAATTCTTTTCTGCCTTAATAAACGAACGAAGGCTTACCGCTTATTGCGGTTTTTCATGGTGAATCGCCTCCAAAAATTGCCACTTTTCTTAACAGGTGTTGTGGTTGGCGTATCGTAAGGGTAACTCGACTCGTCGTCCGTATCGTTAACACTGACTGACTCTCGAGTTGGAGATCCCCCATGTCCTGAATCCCGATCTCCATCGTGCCCAGCTTTATCAAAACCTGCAAATCATCAGTCATGTTGAATAATCCAATGAATATCAAATATTTTATTAATGAGGCAAATCCTAGTGATAATAATTATGTGAATTGATTTGAATAGCAGAATAACTCACCACCACCAGCTCTCAAGACATCGAGGAAAGTGCTCTCAGCGTTTCCTCTGGTTCGTCCCTGCTTCTGGGATGGTGTACCAAAGCTTAAACTTTGAATACTTATTTCTGCTTTTAGCTGTTCCGGTGGTATATCATCAACTCTAAATTCATTTGGATCAACAAATGTCTGCAGGAGATCACGCATTATTTTCTTCCGGATAGTCTTCTTCATCGACAGGTGCCGCTCTAAATGCTTTACGTCGCTCTCGGTTAGAGTTTTGCTGTTGTCCTGACGACGTGATTTCTTCTTCTTGCTGTTCCTCGGGCTCTCCTCTTCCCCCGACGTTGAGCCGACCGACACCGCACTGTCGTTGCCCGTCAATTTCTCGTCCAATTGCCCCCGGTCGGTTTCCCATTTGTTGGCGAAACCAAAGATGTCCCTCAGGTGAGGGATATTTCGATCCGTCGTCTGTTGTCTCGCCATTTTTTCCCGGATGACACGGATGACTTATCGAGACTTCCAGCTTTACTTTATTTATTACTCGCGTAATCTGAAATATTTTATAGAATAATTCAATTCAGCAGTTATCACTGGATATTTTGAAATTTAAGGGAGATAGCAAAATTTTTGTAAAGACATTTTTGTCAAGATCATTCAGAGCAAGAAAAAAGAATATTATGAAAATTTTCATATCTCTCTTGTATACTGAGACATTTATGGAAAACTCAGTTGAGAAGAGAAACTGGAATCGATTCAAGTTTTATAGAATATCCTCATTGCGGAAATATCACTTTATTTTTAAAAACTATTGATTTTAGCCGAAAACATGAAAAGATCGATCTTGTCTGAAATTTAATCATCTTCAAAAAATGTCTCAACCATTTTTCCAGTAAATCAATAGTTTCCCAAATAAAACGTTGAATTCCATCGCATTTTACCACATTTCTACTGTTTCTCATTGTTTTCGTTTTAACCCAAAATAAATAACCTTATTAACTTTTTTACCATCGAAAAAAAAAGAGAGGAGAAAAGCGAGTCTTACAACAGTTCCGCATTATTGATTTCATCACGGGTAAATAATTAGCTTGAGCTCAATGAGAAATTACTAAAGTTTGCCGCAATTGCGCAGAAATTTTACTGCGTAGAAAATTCCACGCATAAACTCCAGTGAAAATTTTCCTGGCCTCCCCCCGCCCTTAAATCCACGGTAATCTCGAGAATAATAACAATCTATCACGGAACCTATTCTCATCTTATCTCACCGACAGCTAACTGATAATGAAAATTGTCAAAACGCGGAAATCTTTCTCCATGCAGTAAAATCAAAGTAACGACTTTCAAATCTCCCGCCCCCCCACAATGACACGTCTTAATGTTTTTCAACTCCTTATAATGCACAAGAAAAAGTGTCACGGGAATATCCTTCCGCACGTGAAAACGCAATGCGGAAGATTAATTGTTTCTGGCTAAAAGGCATCATGAAAAGACAATTAGAATTTTTTTATTCGTTTCAACAATGACTAGGCTTTTTTATTTCTTGATAATATTGAAGAATTTCTCATAGATTTGCGGCCCACGAGAGCCAAACACCCATTGCCATTTATTATTCACAATTGCGTAGGCATAATATAATGTATAACGTCCGCTTTTATTTTCTCCTACCGAGATTTATGTAGGCATTAGCCCAGATGTTACAGAAGTCCATAGCAATTTCTGTCTTTGCAATTACACATCAAGTCCATCCGCATTATTAAACTTTCCTTAACTTTAAAAATATAATTAATTTCGATGATTCTTCAAATTTATTTCATTCATTCGAATTCTTCGCACAATTTTCTTTAGTTTAATTTAATTTAATTAGTAATCATTAAAATTCCTATAATAAGAAATTATCTTGCGCTCAATTAGACTCAAAAACAATGAAACACTCAATTGAATTTAAAATCTAATTCACAATGGAACTTGAAAAAAAAAGATTTAGAATGTAATAGTGTGCAACGAGCTAAAAATAATTTTAAGAATAACAATTTGTGATTATTTTTCTAGTAATAGAGTTCCGGCAGTGGATTGATCCTTCGATCTTAAAATAACCTTCGGATGCCGTTCACTTGCTGGCATTTTTTTTAGGATAAATCCGTTTGTACGCGCGGATGTGGAATTTCTGCATAAAATTATGAGAGGATAAAAATTAAATTCGTACTGGAGAAGACGATTATTTCGCAATATGACGGATGTTTTTCCATCGGACCGCAGAGTCGATTGACTAAATAACTATAAGGATGTAATTTTCATGAATAGAAAACATTAAACACGATTACAGAATAAACCGGTTACTGACGTATATGGAATTTATGCAATTCCCACATTAATTCGTTTCTGGTGTTGTACATATTTCAGTGAAAAATAAATCAATAAGAACATCTCGTCAATTAAATAACAGAAATACGGAAAAAATATCTCGCAACTATTCCAATCATTCGACAATTTAATTATCAATTATTATATATTAATTATCAATGCCAAATTGCGAATGAAATAAAAAAGTCGAATAAAACATTTTCATCGATTAAAGGTCGATATTTTTGCTGATTAAAATCAAAATGATAAGTATGTGTGATAATCTATTGTGATAACGAGATTTCAGTGGAAATACCGGAAATTAACATCGAATGTTGCGGCGTAATTAATCACTATGAATTATCAGCTATTGTGCAGGGATTATAGAAATTCAGGATTGTAATGATTCCTCGATCGGTCTTTTTTTCCAGTCAAAGCATTAAACTCTCCGTTTTCCATTGTTTGTGAGGCCAAGGAGAACTACACGTTTGCATTTTTCGAAGCTGTGATGAACAACAATGATAGTCAACACGATTACTTCAGTCATATCACGAAAAGGTTTCGAGGTCTTTTTGAAAAAAGGCAAGGACTCGTATGTAAGTCATCCCCGAGGTCAAATACTCAGTACTAAAATTCTACTACCTCAAAAAATCCTAAGACTCATAAAAATCCAAACAATTCGTCTTCCAAATTTTCATTCCAACGAACAATTAATCAAATGAGAATTATCATGAGATTGTATTGAATTCAGTTATTTATTCGATGATGTAATGAATTGTGGAAAAATAGAGAGAGAAAATCGGCAATTATCATTTCTATTGAGTTATATATTTATTTTTATTGTTAATTACGATAATTTGTGATGTGAGGGATTTAGCTGATTCGTATAGACAGTAACAGTAAAACTGGTTCAGCAGACTAGACACGAGCTAGACCTTTCACGTTTCTTTCGTCGTGCAATTATCTAATAATGCAAATCATTGATTTAGTGGTTATAGCCGGCCGTTTCCACGGAACAACTGGCAAGATCCACTAAAACTGATGAAAATACTGATATTGCCGATCGATTATTCGTCAACCGATCGCTTCATTCGTTCCGCACATTTTCCGCATTCTAATTAATAGCTTTGTACATCGGGGATTTGTTTTTTCCTATACGTTTACCACATTTTTCGTTTCTACAAAGGAAAATAACGACTGATTTTATGTTCGTGCATCGACATGGTTCACCGAAGCGGAAATGACTTTTTGTCTTTCCTCTTTCCCTTTTTCTCTCTGTGACCTTTAGTACACCGATGAAATGAAAATCATGCATTTCTCTCTCCACGTTATTTCAATCCTTATCAAAAAACAATTAATCCTCAAAATAAATTTTATTCTATCGATTATTTACCTATCAATTCGAAAAATCCTTGATTTATCCATTTTCCAGTAATTAAAACATTAAAACAAACTCAATAAAATTATTTAAAATTCCAATCGTTATTTCAATTATAGATTAAATAAAAAAATTAGTTCTCACACTAACGATAACACTGACAACAATTGGAGTGGCAAATCCATAATTACCGGTAATTTATCAGTAAGATAATTTTTTTTTCGCGGTAAATTGTCCGATCACTCTTTCACGGTTTGCCATTTGGGTTGTGATAAATATTAAAATAGACAACTTGTTAGTTAGAATTGTTGTGAAGAAAATATCAACTTGTTATAAACTTAATTAAGATTGATTTGATATTTTTTTTTATAGATATTGATTGGGGGTTGATGTGGATCCCACCGGGAAAACCGTCGCGGTGTGACTGAGTGATCCCCGAGACTTTCACTCGGTGTAGAGTCCAATACGAATCCGTTTTGTTGAACGACGAGGAGGTAGAGACCCCGAAGAGGTGAGAACCGGGGAAAAGAAGGACTTCGCCTCCCACCGACATAACCGAACACCCACACCTTTTAACACACCACATTTTCACCGTCCTGTAATCCCCACATATCATTAACTTGTTTTCTCCCCGTTTTTACTATCTTTTGTTCCATCTCCAAACGATAACGTCATCTGATAAGGGATTTCCTCGGGAGGTGATTTGCGACACCAGGGGAGTTGCAATTATTATTAAACTACCCATCGAAATTCTCGCTGATCGGCGAAAGTTCTATATCCTCGATATATCTGGTTTTCTAAATGTCAAACCGTCAGGCTGTCTTGTTAGAAAATTAGGCTTCAATTTTTGTTGCTACTACTCGCTTATAATTTTTTGCCGAACGCGAGTCGACCAGTTGAAACTTAAATTAAATCTCTCTGATACCGATTTTTCGACTTTACGCTGGAAACGATGGAGATACCGGAATTTTTGTAATTATCTCTTTTGCAGGTCACAATTAGTGCTGCAATAAAGGTGATTACAAAAATTTCTCTATTCCATCTGAATTCCGAGATATTTGGTGAAAATCGGTCAAGGGCGGAGGTCGCGATTCAATCGCAATAACGCAAGAACAATAAATCGTAATGAAGAATTTTTCAGGAATATCCGGGGGAGGAAAGGAGGAGTAATTAAGGGATAAATAAAAATAAAATGAGTAATTCCAATCCCAAATCCTTCCGTGGGAAGACCACATAAATTCCTTCCGGTTCGAGAAAGTATTTCATATCAATTAAAAACGGGTAAACAAAAGAAATTCGTAACCTACATTTTTTGTACATTTTTTTTTCTTCCCTTTCGAATTCTCCTGCTTTGTTTGACACTTTAAACATCCTTAATGTACCAGATTCGTGTACGGCAAGTGTTATTTGCTTCTGTTAGTGAGCCATTCTCTTCTCCCTCCCTTCAAACGAGAAGTACATTATATACAGTTATGTTGCCAGGCCCTACCTTTCCATTTGATCGTGTACATTCAAACCTGTTCATATGTATTCAACCATATGGACGTGTCACTATTGTACATTAACGTATTATGAGCCTGCCATATTTTTATTTATCACTTTTCGATACTTTTCCGATATTCCCAAAAGGAAAACCCCATTCCAAATTCTGTGATCAATAAAAATGACGCTAGTATTAATAATTATTATTTCCCTGATGTTGATGAAAAAATGATAATTTTTGGAAAGTGAAAATTGACATTTTTTCTTCTGGTGAAAATATTTATGAAAAGAAAGTACAATAAATAAAAGAATAAGTGAATAAGATACGTATTGATTGAAGTGATTGCTTCTAGTTCTAGACACCAGTTACAGGTAAAAAGAAAGACAATAGGCATCTCCATCGGGCTTTTACTATGATTTAACTTTGGACAATGTCCATGCTACACTGAGCGGAAATACCGTAGCTTCTGTACCTCATTACATAATCAGAGCAATGTAACTTCTCGTTGAAGACTCTCTTTGTTCACCCCTTTTTCCTGGAAAATAATCATCCAAGCTGTCTGTTATCGGCGATCGTGAGAGAATTTTAGAAAACACTCGGTTTTCACGAGAGCCATTCTACGAAATACCAATGGATTGACTCGCATTTTTGTGCAAGGGTTTTCAATTTGATGAATCACGTGATAAATTTAATATTGAACTGATTCCCCCGAGCGAAACTCAGCTAACCAACGACAGAGCAACGGTACTCAACAAAGGCGTCGTCTCGTGGCCTCTGGAGTGCGTCTTCCTTTGCAAGGGAACATGAGAATCATTTCCTCGTATCTCCATATGAAATTTCCCCCAAAACACCCAAAACAACTTAAAAAAATATAATAAGACTCTCCTGAAATTGTTCTAAGATTGTCCCACAGCTGTATTCTCGCAGAAAATAAAATATAAAAAACTTCAATAAATAAAAAAACAAACGTGGGCACCACCATTTTGCTTGCACACCCCCTTCCACCGTTGCGAGGGCTTCAAAGATGGCGGGGCGCTCATCTCGCATTTTCAAATGTTTATTTAAATTGTTAGTCTTCTTCGAATGACTGTCAACTTGTTTTATTCTGTTCCTCTAATGTGAACAATTTTTTAAAACCCACGGGTGCATATTTCGATCGTTTTCGGCGGAGGCATCGAGTAGTGAAATCTTCGTCAATTTTTTTTTTTCAATCCGAGGACCTTTTAATGGATAAGTTAGCCCGTGAAAAGCATTAAAGTCGCGGCAGGCAACTTAGAAGATGCTGAGGGAATCGTACCGTTATGCAACCTGCTCCGTACATCGTCAGACTCCCGTTGTTGTTCCGCGACTGGCTTGCGTCAAAAGCCGAGACCCGGCGACGCCTACTTACGTGGTAAAACCACGATTCTCAGGCAATTTCATTCTTAAACGAATAAAACTGCCTCATTCTTAGGTCACAGAACTATTTCGACCCACGTCAGGCCAATAAAACAGAGTAAAACTCGAATAATCGGCTAATTAGATTTTTTGTAGCTTCGCCACCTTCACAAGCACGCTGTTAGAAAAAACTAAAATTTCATGGTCAGTTGACTATTAAGTTTCAGGATAGGGGTACTGAATACCATTTATGTGTTAAATGTGTATTAAATTTCAGATTTTAGTCAAAATTCAGCAAAATTACAAAATTTTAAGGGACAAGATGAAATGAAAATTCCTCAATTTTTATAAATTTTCAATCACATATGACCATTCGGTGTTAATTACATTGAAATTTCAATGAAACTGAGAATTTAATTATATTTTCGGTCCAATTCAAGAACCTATTTACCAGAATTTTCTGGTTTTTTGTTCATTTTCTGGAGAAAATGAGACGAAAATTGACAGTTTCTGTTTCTGATTTTCCCGAAATAATGAATTTTCAATGCCAAAATACTGTGAAATTCCAGTGGAATCGCGGGAGGGGAGATAAATAGAGAGAAGATTTTTTAACAGGCTACTTTCAAAAAAAAAACCTTCACCCCGAATAACTGCGGCCGAACGCAAAAACAATGTAAATTCCGCGAATTAACTGTACAAGCACACCTGGAATAGACGATAAAACACCAAGAAGTTGAGCCTCAGGATAACAAGTTACATTCACACATTGATTCATTACGAAATCCCTTGGGGTTGCCCAAGATCTCGCCTTGTGTGTCCGGTAAGGTTTCTCTTTGTTCCGCTTGTTGGTTATCCCCGAGGCCCGAATGTCCAGTTCACGGCTCGTCCTCCCGCCTTTTATATTATTTTTTTTCTTTTCTTTTCCCTTTTTTTTCATCGCATTGTCGAATGAATCTACCGGGCCGTGATTCCGACAGTAGGATAATTACACCACGTAATTTCCCTTAATTGCGCGATTGCACTTCAATAAGATTCGATACATTGCCGATCTGCATATCATTTTCGCATATCAAAATCGAATTTATTTCAGCCACAAATAATTATTATCCTCATTATTAAGACTTGTGTTTGTCTTGACCGTTACACAGTAAATAAATATTAAATATAATATATTTTCCAGTGGCATCTTATAAACAATCTCGGACGCTTTCATGATGACCTAGAGTTTTCTATTTTCTATAAATAAAAAGGATCTGCGGAAAACTGTCGGTATATTCTCGGAAATGGGTTGTGCACAAAAAGGTATCGAGGAAATGTGATGAAAAATCGCACGTGAACGATTTTCTTTTTGTCATTTGACGCATCTTTGATGAAGAAAGGTTAATCCTATCTTTCCAGATCTCAAAGATAAATGTCAGTGTTAAATTACCAACGGCTCATTGCGCTCGTCGATAATTGGCTGTTGTGATAACTCGGTAATGATATTTTAGGACTCACGATAATGCCCTTATTTCCCTTAGTCTTCATTGAGACCTTTGCCAAAGGTCACCCCCTATGACCTGATGACCATGAACCTTTCACTTGGCCTTGTTACAGTGTCACATTACCTGGAAAATTCCCCTCATTCCCCTCATTCCCCTCTTTCCCCCCATTTTCATCTCCCCCCTTTTCTATATCGCGGTTTATCGCGTGGAATCAATCTCTGGCATCTTTGTCTCGGAAACATAATTTCATTCGACCCAATTACCACTAAACTCTGAGATATTCCCCTATTGTTTGAAATATTCTTTTTCAAATTAACGCGCCGTATTTTGCAACAGTTTAAATTTAACTATCAGCATTTAAAATGAAGAATTTTATTGTAAAAATTTCATTCAATCCAATTATCAGTTAATTCTCAGATATTTCCCTATTGTTTGAAATATTCTTTTTCAAATTACCGCGCTCTATTTTGCAACAGTTTAAATTTAACTATCAGCATTGAAAATTAATAATTTTATTGTAAGAATTTCATTCGATCCAATTATCAGTAATCTTTAGAAGTTATCGTATTGTTGAGGAATATTCGGTTTCAAATTAACGCGCGTTAATTTACAAAATAGTTTAAATTTCCAGACATTCAGGATTTGAAATGAAGAATTGGATGGTGGAGCCCCGAAGGAATTCCAGTAAGTGCTTTTAATTCCCCAAAAGCGAGGGGAAACGAATGGTATTTCTAAATATAAAGTGAGCGGAAGAAGTTACAGGAATAAAAGCCCTAGTATATGTCGCAGGGAACACTCAGCCACAATTTCTCACGTCGCGTCTAGCCGAAAGGGAAGGGAATTGCTCCGAAAAAATCTGGAATTCAAATTTCCTCCACATGAATAATGCAAGAAAAAAACCCCTTAAAAATGAACGCAAGACAATTATTCGTCTCACATTTCAATTAGACAACACATTTTCATTAAAATATCTCCCAAAATTAAAGAATACCTCTCAATTCCCTCAAGTCTTCTCCAACCCTTCCACAATTCCCCCATTTTCATTGGAGTAATGATTAATTCAATAATAACGAGCATAATAAACCGACAATGTAATAATTTCAGCAGAAAATTTTCAACTCAGCGCTGGAATTCTATTCGAAAATTTTCTTTTTCCACAATTGTTTAAAAGAAAAACTTACCGGTAGAGCCAAGCGTTATCCGCAGCTCGCCAATTCACGCTGTTTTAATTGTTATTTGAAAAAAACCCTTGACACTTGCACAATCAGAAATTGATTCTGACGACTTTCAACTGCTGTTGATAAATAACACCGCAATTTTCTCGATGACAATATCGATAACGATTGATAATCACGAGCGATACACTGTAGTTACTCCAAAGAGGATCCGTTGACAACTGACGGCTTTACGGAGCTACACCGTCACGTCAATGAAAGCCGCCCCACGCTATATCATGCTATATGCGCTATATTCACGAGATATATTCACCAGGAGAAGCGCACGCACCTCCCCCTGCTCACCTCATCGGTTTAATACACGTGTATGGAATGAACATTCTCACCCCCTGGATATTAACGTCATTACATTTATGACGTGGAATCAAACGTCTCCGATTGCTTTTACGTCATGACAATAAAAATGCTTGATTAAAAATTGTGAATGAATTTTCCAGTAAAATTTCTATAATTAATTAATCAATATCTACTAGAAACTTCGAAACATCTAATACTGGCAATAAAATTTCATAACTGGAGTTTATCAATTCGTTATCGATGGGATTTAATCAGGATTAACATTTTACTCACCCGTCAGCAGAATTTCTGTTTTTTCCCCTGAATTGATGGATTTCCTGGTGAAAAATCGTAGCACAATGAATGCTCTCTTCACGAAGACATAATCAGCAATACAAGTGAAAGACGTAATGTTATGTCAGGGCTTTCAATTATCGTCTGTGAACTTTTTAATTATCTCGATTCATTTGAATTGCATTTGGGGTTCCTTATTGTATCGTTCGTTTTCACTTGAGGAGTTCTGGATATATTGTTCACAGTACACCTTTCACTTACACCTGATAACATGATATTACAAAATTATTCAATATTTATTGCTGAATATTTGTCTTGGAGTTGAATTTATTATTTTACCTATTATTTTTCTAGTGAATGACCCATCGGCTTGATAATTCCTATTTATGGATGCAGCAAGGTCGCAGTGTTCTTTGTAGAAGGAATATTGATCTTCCAACCATTGACGAATGTCGATCAGCCTCGACCTTAGGTACGCAGTGTCAGGATCAGGGTCTTGACGTCCACCTGATGTCATTAAACAACAGTCAATTTCCCATTAAAAGCCTTTCCCTAAGATAAAATAAAAATGTCAATTAAATTACCTGATAAAATAAACTCTGGCATTTTAGGAAACCCCAGAGGTCTAACAATTCGTAGGCAGGAGTTCTCTGGGAAAGTCAGATGATTGGGAAAAATCTGAAGATGCCTAGTCTCTTGGTCAAATCGTCTGACATATTTCTTGATCGAAGAAGAAATTTCTCGGTCTCTTTTAATCTCAGGCTGTGAATTTTCTCGCTGATCTTCAGTTTTCTTCAATTTTTCTGCCTCATTTATCTCTTCTTTCTCCTGCCTCTCTGATGTTTTTGCCGTGTCACCCGAGCTAATTGATTTTCCAAGATTGATTGATAGCTCCGAAGCATTACTCATGCCCGACTGGTCTGCACCGCTGATTTTCACATCCTTGCGTTCAATGTCGAATCCTTCATGACCACTGCCCTTCACCAATTGCTTCTGATTGATCTTGGAATCCGAAGGAGTCCCTCGTTGGGATTCAAATTCTGCATTTTCTATTTTTCCATTGGCATTCGATGACTGGCCACTTAAATGGCTTATCATTTTAATAATTTCTTTCGCTGCCTTCTCGTCCTCTCGACAATACGCTGATTTCCCCTCAATTTTCTCTGGAATAATTACTGAAGTCTCTGCCATAGTCTCTTCATACATTTCTACATCCGCGGTCTGATACTCGGATATTTCTGATGCCAAAGTTTCATCTGCCGATTCATTTTCTTCAGTTGACGAAGAATTACTTTCGAAAGCTTCTTGCGAATAATTTTCAATTTCTTCAACGGGGGATTCTTCGGTTGATATTCCGCCCCTCGACGAGAAGCTTCCGCTTTTATTTAAATAATTATCATTTCGTACGTCAATACTATTAGAATAATTATTCAAGAATTCACTGAAATTTAGTACCTTCTCATTGTTTTTCATTCCAACTGATGACTTTATTTCTCTGGATGTCTCAGAAGATTCATTCGAGGCTTGAAAAATTTCACTAATCGATTGCTCGAGAATTTCTTCAGAATTTTCATTGAGGTTTTCTCTCAAGGACAAGGATTCATCATTACTTTTGTTTGATTTTCTTGATTCTGATTCGTTAGATAATTCTAGTACACTGTTAACTATTCGAATGGGTGACAGCAATTTTCGCTCATTATCCGATGGATAATTACTCACGTATTCAGCGTGAGTCTCTGGCATTTGTATATTCAATCTAGGACGCAATATTTCCTGTGATTCTTTATCTGAACCATCACTTGAACTCTCACCAACAATTTTATGCTCGTCCAATCGGGATTTGTACTTCTTATCAATTTCTTTCAGGCGCAGAAGGGCGGACGCTGCTTTTGAAGACATTATTATATCCAATTGACCCAGAGGCGATTCCAATTTTGTTGTAAATTCTCTTTCAACTTCCTGGTAATCACAATGGTTACCATGCCAACGATTTATTTTCTTATCTGGCACAGATGGCAGCATTTGTCAGGTGTGGTCGTGTCTCAGGAAAACAAAGTTGAGACTTGAGAGAAATTTTCTACTATGTAGGCTTTTACCAAAGCTGTAATCAGAGGTTCATAATCAAAGATCGCTTAATAGTTATCATTATGATGTTCTTGATGATTCAGTCGCTCATTTTTGATAAACATTTAAAAAACTTCTTGGGCAAAAAAACCTGCAATCATTATCCATTGAAAGGATAATTGAAAAGAATATATTATATTTTACTGAGCCTGGGCTACACTTAAAAGTACTTTGACCACATCAGAAATTTACAATCTCCTAAGAACAGGCACGAAAGAAAAAATCTCTGGTCAAAAGAAAATCACAAAAAAATCATGATTCTCATTAAAAATTGTGATTACCCTCATTTACATAATCGACGTATTCGAGTATCAATCACTAATCTATAGAAAAATATATACATATATGAAAGATGTACTTAATGTCGACCAATTCCCTCTACTTTTTCAATTTATAAGATTTATAAAACGTTTTAAAAATAATTATAAAACGTATATTTGGTAAGGGAGACGCGAAGAGAAGAAAATGTCATTATTCATTCATTATTTCAGTTTTTCCAAAAGTTTATTACACTTAACTGACGATAAAATATTAAATGCCTATATAAGTCTTAATGTTTTCTCTTAAAATATCTAGAGTTCATTAGATTCTTTTCCTGCTGCCTCTCGGCTTGTCCCTGGATATGCGATTGCACTGTTTTTGCTCCTTTTCAATCAACTTATAATTAAACAAAAATTTAACACAAAAAAAAACACGGACACGCCAATATTTTTTGGGGAAAAAAAATTCACTGTAAATGAGTTGAAAACGATTTTCTGCTAGTGTCCTATTTCGTCCGGGTCTCTCTTATATATTTCGTATATAAATTGTGCTTAATTTGAAAAAAACATATATATATTTATTTTACATACAATGTATTTTTGTCGACCTCTCCCTCAGAACAAAATCTCTCACCGGAAAACAATAATGATGGAATTCCTCCCCACTATTGTCAGTCAGAACTTGTCATTTTCCAGGATTATTTTCTCCAGTATGAATGAATAAACGTCAGAAATATCGATGCAATTTATTCCAGATATTAATTGATCGTTTGATGATATTCTCTGATATTCTCAAAGGATTGTTTCATTTGGAAGGAGCGAGGAAAGTAATGGGGAGAGAGCAGGATAGAATGTTGGATGATATTTCAGGGAATTGTCTTGTCGATGGCGAAGTCATCGTAGAACATGAAGTCAGCTGTTTACAGTTACATTAAACTTCAGAGGAATCACAGTTGCCTACAAATAAAAATCCGAAATGAAAATTCAATAACTGGCAATAACAAGTAAGATTTTCCTTAGTGCAAGCGATTTATTGTATGTATGGATACGATTTGTGAAATAATATGGTTTTAAAGTTATGAGAGACTGATGATTATAATTTTGTCTGTCCTTAGGATAAAATATTCAAGAAAACTTCAAAAATGAAACACGGTGGCCTACTTATTTTTGGGATTAACAGACTGTCAAAAATTTGAGACGTCAGGACCTGTGGATATGTGAGTTATATCTTTTATTAGAATAATTATTTTTGTATATTTTTAAGTATCAAAGAGAAATCGACTGGATAATAATTTTGATATTGGAATAATTCTCACAAAAATTTTATTTTGATTTTTTTGTAACTACTGCAGAGAAATCCTTCACGTAAACTGGAAGAGTTCTCATGCTAGAGACAAAGAGCAAAATAAACCTAATGGGTTTATTGTTGTTTTGCTAAGAGTTCTTTAAATTATTTAAAATTCATTTTCATTCTTGAAGAGCTACTTTTACTTTTTATGTACACTGTTGCAAAAAATTATCTTTGACGATAATGATTCAATTGACCTGAGAAAATGTTCTCTCGTCGATTTAAACAATCATGCAATCTGTTGGTAATTAATTTAGTTTTTTAAATTGAACCTAAAGAGGCTTTTAGATTTTGAAAGGGCTGAGATCCTCCTGTTCTGCATGAAATATTTTATTTTATTGCTCTAAAGATAGTTATTATGATAAATTCATATAGTTTGCGTTATATCCAGAATATTCTGTATTTAGCACTTTGGTTACAGAATATATTGCATGAAGAGTACAGCACTTAAGATCTATTTTCCATACACTTGAATTGATAATGAAAATCGTTATCGCTCGATCGCAACATGAATTTTTAAGCTGGAGTTTAGATTGTCATGATCAGATCTCCCAAGATTTAATTCTCACAATTACTTTAATTGCCGATATGCGGTAAACCATTAAAATTATGGAAAGACATAGCTAACAAAAATTGTCATGGGATAAGAGAGTTTTCTTTTGATACCTTTTTGTTTTTTTTGTGAACACAATTATTTACCAACAGATTTCACGGTTATTTTAATTGACAGGATCATCTTTTGTAGTATTAAATAAATTTTCTTTATTAAAATTAGTTTTTAATAATTGAGAGAAAAAATGTATTAATTAAATGGAAATCATTGACTGAGTAATTTCTGTTAACTAGAATCGATTGATCAATTTATTCCTGAATAGCGAGTTATTAAAAAAAAATTTTTCCTTATATGATCATTTACTCTTGAGAAATATTTAACTCCTTCAATTCTTTATTTCTCAAGTAAAATTGTTTTCTAGCAGAAGTTTTCATGAAGATTCAATTATCCCAATGATAATTTTCTAGGAACTCGCGTTATTTATGACTCCCAGTGTTCACTTAATCCTCTAATAATTACCGATATTAAAAATTTCTTTGGAAATTCGATCCTCTAAAAAATAATAAATTTGAGAAATGGGAATAATCATCACGTAATTAGACTCTACTAGAGATAACTTGATCGTGGGAATACCATTTACAGAATATAATTGGTTCTTTCGAGTAAATAGATATGTGACACAAATAATTTTTCTTAGTGAGCGAACATATGATGATAAGTAGAAATTCTTTGAAATAAAACAATTAAAAAATTGGAAATGATTCTGTTGAACAAAAATTATTTACAAAAATATATTCTTCTTGAGCACAAATAAAATAAAATAAAATAGAGGAATAATTTGATTTGTCAGTGTAACTTTATTTTCCGTAGAAATCCTAAAAATGCTGCCAGGAATTGGATTATTCGGCACGGGAAGTGTAGTTCGCGTAATAGTTCCATTCCTTCGGGAGAAAGGATTTAAAATCGAGGCCGTATGGGGGAGAACTCTTGCAGAAGCTGCAGAAGTAGCCAAAGATCTTGAGATACCCTTTCACACCGGTCGGATAGACGATGTTCTCCTTCGGAAAGATGTCGACCTCATCTTCATCATGTGCTCCCCCAGTCTGCAAGCGCAGATTGCTGTCAAGGCCCTCGGAATTGGAAAGCACGTGGTGTGCGACAAACCAGCTGGACTGAGTCAGAGCGAAGCACTGAAAATGGTCAGAGCAGCTCAGTATTATCCCTCGTTGATTAGCATCGTCAATCACAGTCTGAGGTTCCTTCCTGCATTCGTCAGGATGAAAAATGCACTGGAGGATGGATACCTAGGGGGACCGGTCACCATTGTCGATATCAGGGTGCAGATGGGCAGTTTATTGCGAAATGGTTTGTTTTTTTTACTTTAAGGGCCGGATGGAGTATCTCGGACAGATAATTTACTCCAAAATTGGGATTCCTAATTACTCCGCCAATTAATTGTTTTTCCCCATAATTGTTAGCTAGCGTTCTAGTCGTTGACAACCGCTAGAACGCTAGCTAATAATTATTGAAAAAAAAAACGATTAATTGCCAGAGTAATTAGGAATCCCAATTTTGGAGTAAATGATCTTTTCCAGATAATCCAACCGGTCCTTAATACATCTGGAAAATTGGGTTATTATATATTTACATATTTATATAAGTTTTTATAAATTATCTGAAGTATTTGAAAAACCATTGTTTTTGTTAACGGATTAATGAAGCCATTGCCTTTGTCTGGATAAAAATTTCAATCCAGCAACCAAAATGGAATAGCAACTTTAAACTAATTTTTTTTTTGCATCGGCACTCTAGATTTGTCTGTTGTCATTCGATTTAGTATCGTTTTGTGATATTACCTTAGTTTTTTATTTACACTTTTGAAAGCTAAAGGCTTAAACTAGTAAAAAATAATAAAATCTTCTAGTAAATTCTATGAGAACTTGCGTGCAAGAGACAGTTTTTGCGCGGATTTTCCTCGAAACTATTGGGCTTAAGTTTCTTTAACATCAAACAATTTAATTTCCTATGTTTTGTTATCAGCTAAGAAGGATTTTTTGAAAATTACTAAACATTCTTCATAGATTTTTCTCTACAAATTTTCAATCATTATTGATAAGAATTTTATTAATACGTCGAAAAACCTTTCACCCAATATCGTAGTAATCGATTTATCTCAAGAACAATCGATTTAGAATGAAAACATCGAAGAAATTTTTGTAACTGTTTAAATTTTCGACAAAAAATAGTTTTTCAAATTTTATCTTAAACCTAATAATTTTTTAGTTTGATGGGTATTTAACACAACGACAATTCGATTCAGTTAATTTAGTAGACTCCTCCATTTTCATAGTAAAATCCTCTTTTCTAGGCTATGACTGGCTTTGCGACGATACAATGGGTGGAGGGATCCTAGCCCTCGTAGGAAGCCACGTAATAGACTTGATCTTCCACCTGATCAATCAAAAAGCATCTAGAGTGCACGCAGTAGTAAAGACTTTCACCCAGACGACGAAGAACATAAATGGAATTCGTCGAGTGACATCTCCAGACTTCTGCTGCTTCCAGATGGAGTTGACAGGAGGTGCCTTGGTGACAGCGACGCTGAGCAATCATCTCCAGGGACAACTGACCCAGGAGGTCCTGATCTGTGGGGCTAATGGACACCTGGTGGTGAGGGCAGGAGATCTTCATGGATGCAGAAATGGACAAGAGGAGGTACTCTACAGAGACATGGAGAATCTCCAGGAGAATTTCCCAGCAGTCAAGGATTCGATACCGCGGCCGTACGTGAAAGGATTGAAGAAGATGATTGGAGCTCTCAGGGAGGCTTTCCAGCCAGTGGAAGACAAGCGGGGATGGATCAAAGAGCCCGTGTCTCAGGCAGCCACATTCGAAGATGGTCTTTACATTCAAGCTGTCATTGATGCTCTCAGGCAGAGCAACAAACGACGAGAATGGACTAAAGTTACTATTTTAACTGAGGAACCCGACCCCAATCCTCTCCTCAGTGCTGCTGTCAGAGCAACCGCCATCTCAATCTGATCCCATTGTATTCTATTTGAATTCTCTTACGTTCAGAAAAAACATTATTTTTGCCAAATGTCCTTTTGCTTGACAGAGATAGACTAGTATTTAGACTTTCTATGTGCTGTTTCTTGTCTTGAGTAATTTTCACAAATTTCTCATTAGGTTTCAATGATTACAATTAGATTGCTGTCAATAATTATTGGCATAAACTAATTCTATGCAAATTATTCTTTCAAGCAAATACGAAATTCAGGAACTGAATTATTTGAGAAATGCAATTAAGAATATCTGCAAAGTAATGAGCTTCTAAAGCAACATTGCTGTAAAAAATCTAAAGTCAAATCGACTAAAGATAATTCGATTGGAGAATTACGATTTTTAGATATTTGACAAAGATAATTTTTTTCGTTTGGGTATTCAGCAATATGAGTGAAAGTTTAAAAATTAACTTTTAGAATTTTCTAGATTCTAGATATTAAAATGTTCGGAAAAAAATTCTTTATTAATGATTATTTATTTATGAAAAACTGTGAAAAATGAGGTATCTCTTAACTTCAGAACGAACGAATTTTATAATCTTTCCATGTACAGAAAAAAATATTTTCCCCTTTCAATAGGCAGTATTAATATTATTAACTTATGGTTTAAGTCACACGGTTGTATGTCTGAGATTAACAGAATATGAAAAAAAAAGAAGAAAAAATATATACTTTTGTACATCACCTAAAAATGTTTGTGTCTATCCTTTCTCTATTTTGTTAATGATTTTAGTTTGACTTTAGTGAAATAAAGAGAATGAATATTCTCTCCTGATTTATCCTCAACTGAAATGATTTGAATCAATACAGAACTGGCACAGATTACAAACAAATTGTTCTTTATTTAACTTCTAGGATATCCTAAATACGTCACCAAAGCTTATCATATTTTCATAATTCGTTTAATTGTTTAATTTCTCTCGTGAAAAAGAAATTAGACCTTTGATCGCTTGCGTGCAATCGCGTCTTCAACGGCTTTGAGTTGCTTGAGGAGTTCTTCTCGTCTTGAGCTCGCTTTTTTCGCAGCTTTGGCAGCAGCTGCAGCAACGCTAGCTTTATTATCGGGCACTGGAGGAGACTCCAATGATCGTTTTTTCCCAGCCATAGTGGCACTGCGATCTACCTTCTTCACTGGTGTTGTGGAAATTTTTTGCTTCACCTGTTGCTTGGAGGTCGAGACTTTTGGGGGTTCTACGACCTTTAAAGGTTCCTTACGCGGTGGCGATACTACTTTTTTCCTGCGTAATTCAACAGACGAGCCCGACGAATAGCTAGACTCACTCGAATCACTACTGCTTCCACTGCTGTCTGATCCACTACTGCTGTGGGACGATCTGTAGATTATTCAAATTGTTTTTCAATTAATATTGACCTAGTCACCCTTAACCTAACACCACAAATTTTTGTTTAAAACTAGTCGAGAACTATGAAAAGTTATTAGAACAATTTTGGTACTTGCTTAATTTTGAAGATGTTATCCCACATTACTGTGGAAACATTTCAACAATAATTTACCTAGACCTAGAACGACTCTTGATGACTTTAGCAACAGCTGCAGCAGCGAGTGCAGCTTTATCCCTCGATTTTTCGTGATGACGATGGGAAATCAACGGGCTCGGTGCTGGAGGATTGAGTCCAGCTCTTCTGTGCGCTGTTCCAGTCGGTGATATGGAGCCTTTGGCTCCCCTTGGTGATGGCGCTGGTGGATTCATCAGCATCACACCTCTCGCCTGATTTGTTGAATTGACCGGTGGCGGGGAGGGAGGGGGATGTTTACCTTTGGCACGAGCACGCCGGGATGTGGGGGATGGGGAGCGGGACCTGGATAAGGAGTCATAAGAGGAGTAACTAGAGCGACTTGAGCTTCTGCTGGAGCTAAAAAACATTTTCATGTAGTGCAGTGTCTCGAGGAAATAGAGATGAAGAAGATTTTGGGGAATTTTTAAAAGGAAAAGGAAATTGCTAGTTTTCTTTTGTTTTGTTCGCGAATAGAAGCTTTCTAATTCAACAATTTTTCCAATTCTTAATTATGCTTGGAAATTGATTACGTGTTATGAAACGTCGGCATCCGAAGTTTTTAGAGATCATTCATATGGATATTTTTTAAATTGCGATAAAAAAAGGTTTGAAGCACTTGGCACATATCTTAAATTTTTGTCAACAACAGCTATTGTTTTTCCATCTAACCGACAGGTTTGCAATTATAGCAAGTTTGGAAAAATCTTCTTGTGTTTGGTGGTTTACGAGTCTACGGGATGATGCATTCATCAATATTATCAATTTTGAATTGCTATGGTCAGTTATGGCATTGTTTTCCCTTCGTTTAATAATTTTTCGTTTTTGTTTAAAATATTCATTTCACTATCCTTTTTATGCAATTTGATGATTACGTCAGTAGTTATAAAAATGGATAAAAATGAAGAACCGATGTAATGCCCCGATCCAATTACCCCGTTTGGTTGTACTTGATATTTACCTTGTGCTAGTATATGAAGAGCCTGAAGAGTACGACTGTCTCCTGGGTCTTCTGGTCGGGCCAGCGTTTTTTCTGATAGCTGTGGGAGACTTTCTCCTCATCCAGGGATCAGCCCACTCATCGCCACGTCCTCTCTCTGGAGCTGGAGGCTCCTCCTCCCTCCACGTCTTGGCCACTGGAATTCTCTCGACGATAACCTCCCTGGAGGGTCTTTTGTGCTTTTTCTCGTATTTCTCGTAATACTCGTGCTCTCTACCTCTCTCGCGTTCCCTCTCCCTGGGGAATGGTGGTGGAGACACTGAGTGTGCAGGTCCTCGTGGTGGTGGTGGATAATCCACTCGTTCTCGGTAATCTGGCCCTGGACGAGGCTCTGGTTTATATTGAACTCTTCTATAATACTCTGCTGGAGGAGCTGGATGACTTGGTGGTGGATAGTAACCGTCAGGATCATCGTACCTTGAAGAATTTCTTCATCGTTTTTTGTTAATTATTTTCACGTACCAGAATATTACACAATGATAAAGAAATAACTTGTCACAACTATTAATTGACTTCGAAGAATGATTAATGTAAAAAAAAAATCATATTCCATTAATTGTGTATTGTTGATAATTATTAAAGGAGTTCACTTAAAATCATAACTACCATGATTATCTTCTAGAGGAATATCATTGGCATAATTGAGAGGTAATGAGAATTCCTTGGGAATTCTTCGACCTCAGAAATGTGGGATTCAAAAAAGTAATACTTCTTCACTGAAAGTGACTCTCTGGTAAGAATTTGTTCTTCTCTGTGTGAACATTCTCAAATTTTCCAGTTCCATTTAATTAGAAAGATTAGTAAAAACTAATGCGTCATAACGACTCAACCCAAGTTAATCAAATTTTTTTATGTATTTAAAATTTGAATTTGAATTTTTCAATATTCCACTGCACAAACACTTCCAAAATTCACAATCCTTTTTTTAATCTCATGTACAAATAGTACCTTTCACACTTGTTAAAATATTGATGGTAGTTTCTATTCCCATTAGCGGGTCTAAATATTCTTGAATAAAATAAAAATAAAATTACCTCTCTGGAGTGATTCTATGTGGTGGAACTCTCCTAGGGGGTCCCTCCCTGGGTGGCCACCTCTCAACTGGTGGTTCGGGGCTCGCCGGTTTAACATAATATCCAGCCTCTCGATCCATCTCTTCCTGCCCAAGACTGAGATTCATCTTCTTCTCCTCGAAATCCATATCTGACTCTTTCCTCTTATTAGCCTTTCTCATCATCTCCTTGGCATGCCTGAGGCCCCTCTCCCAGGCACTCTCAGCAGGAAGATCCTCCCCCTTGGGTGGATGATGTGGTGCAGGGTATCCAGTTAAAGGTCTGAGAAGACTGGGCCTCTCGATGTGAGGCCTGAACTCGTGAGTAGTAGTGGAAGCATGTGAAGGATATGCCATGGGCCTCACCATATCAAACATCGTGTAATTTCCCTTGTCAGTCACTCCAGGATGGAGAAACCTGCAGCTGACGCCCCAAGTGCACTGACCCCTGTTGTAGAACCTGCACACAGGCCTGGGTTCAGTTTCTTCAGGTCTGGCATCATCCCCATCACTCAATTCTCCCTCCTCCAGCTCAGACTCCACTTTTTCCCCATCTTCAACAGGTTCGTCATCAACGATTTCTCCAGACTCTCTCTTATCACTCTCCTTCTCTCTGGCCTCCCTGGGCTCCCTGACCTCCCTCTCCTCCTTGGACTCCTTTGGAGCCTCGGCCTCTCCCTCCTCCCTCTCATCCTTCCACTGTCCTTCAGCCTCGAAATCCAACTGTTCAGTCTCCTCTAAGCTCACAGAGACAACTTTTTCCTCCTTATCAGCTTTGATCTTCTCCTCAGGGCTCTTAGGCTCCTCGTCCTCATGATTGCGCTCATGCTCATCAACCCCATCCATACTGTCCAGGTCAGAAACGTCGGAAAGATCCTCTCCATGAGTCATTGGTACTGGTTTGGCCTTGGCTGGCTCGGGCTCGTCTTCGATATCTCCATCGGAGATCTGTTCTCCATCGATTTCATTGAACGAATTGGATTTCTGTCGGGGTGATTTGGGCTTCACTGGGGACTCGTCAAGTTCTCCATCGTCTGGTACTGATCCCCGACCCGATTTGAAGGACTTTGGAGAGGAACGTTCAGACAACAGGGATTTTGGTGAACTCCTGGGAGAGATAGGAGACTTGGGAGAAGCAACTGATGATGGAGACATCGGACCCCTTGGGGGTTTCGGGGATCTCGACTTGTAGGATTCTCCTTGTGGTGAACCAGGGGGCGACGAACGGTCTGATCGAGAGTAGTTGGATGATCTTCGAGATTTGGGAGAGGCTGATGCTGATTTTGGAGAGGTTGATGCCGATTTTGGAGAGGCCGATGCCGACTTTGGGGAACTATGACGAGAGTCTGGGGAGTGAGGAGATCCTGGGGAATGTGGAGGTTCTGGGGAGTGCGTTGATTGCGGCGATCCACTTCCTGATTTTGGTGACCCTGGAGGCGATGCTGGAGGGGATCTTGGGCCTCGGGGGGACGAGCCCAGGGAACTACCTGAAGATTTGCGGGATTTTCGATAGCCAGGGGAGTCCTCTGGGGTCGCTGCCCTCCCTCGGTGGCCCTCATAATCCGACGAACTATCAGAACCCGAGTCTGACATTTTTTATGATTTTTGCACTAGGTTTTTTCAACCTGTGAACACAAAATTCTGCTCATGAAATTCGCAAGGTGCCCCACGCATTTCGCCATTTTATTTTCTGTTTTGATTTTTTTTTTTTAGATTTTAGGCGATCGTATACCTACGAAGATCGCTTTATGTCGGAGATTTCGACGATTTTAAGCTTACCTGGGGGGCTCAGTTAAGAGTGCTCGTGCAGTACTCGCTCTCTTGAGGTACCGACGCGATAAATCCATTCACTTTTGGATTTTTAAGTACTCGAAACGAACACAGAAACGTAAACTCAATTTGTTTTTTTTTCTCTCTCTCTCTCTTACGCGCGCTCTCTTTCTTTTTTCTCTCTCTCTCTCTCTCTTTCTCTCTCTCTTTTAGATCGTAAAGGGATTCGAATAATTGGGAATTCTTGGTTTTTTTTTCTTATACTTGAACTTGAACTTGATTTTTTCTTCACATAACCGAATGCGTACTTTGCATTCCTATTATTTTGGTAACGAACTTTTTCGACGTCAACTTTTTTAGAAACTTCCTCGATATTGGCGTTCATGGTTGGAATAATCGGCTAAACGTTTTTTTTATTTTCTTTTGATATTTTGAATGCAACTTTCTGGTTTGAGGAACACAACACAAGCAAATATATAACTTCGATTGCCCGGATTATTTTAGATAAACTTTTGGTTTAGTTGGGTACTGCACTAGAGCAATTGTTTGTTTGAACCTGAAAGAATTGTTTGTTGGACGTGCAAAGAGGTAATCTTGGGAGACTGGGGTTTGTGGAGGTAAAGGATCACTGGATTATTGGAGGAACAGCTTGGAGATGAAAAATAGAAGCATTTGTTATAAATTTATCTAAATCTAAGAGTATTGAATGCGATTGGATGGACTTGAGGTCATCTGCTGGATCGAGAATTCTTTGAGATTATGAGCTCTTGCATTGATTTATCATGGAATCTGTCACTGATAAGTATTTTTGTACTGAACCAAAGTGTTTTACTTTGTTTTTTTGTTTTCTTTTTTCATTCATTCTTGCTCCTAAAACTAAATAACACACTTGTTTCTCCTTTCTCAAACGAATCGAAAACGAAAGGTGTGAATAATGGTATTATTGTTGTTTTATCACAGCCATTGTTGCTGATCAACAATCATTTCGGTGATTATTTAGTAGATTCACACCAGAGATTATATACTCCGGCCCAACCTGAATTCATTCGTGTTTACAATCAGCGATTACTCAAATAAACACCGTCAATGGGTATCCTGATGTCTATTATGTCCCAATAAGTATGAGATTGGGTTGAGTAGTCGGTCTAAATCCTCCCTGAGTGAAGGTTTGTGTGAAGTGAAAAATATGCGTTTTGCGGGTCTCCAGGATATTTGTGTGGACTTTGCGAGGGTGGTACAGGTTCTTCATCACCCGAGGTGACTGTTATCATGGTTATCCATGTGAGTACTTATTTAAACGGAACAGTGACTTTCATAGTACGAGGAGCGAATTATTTCCAGAAATTCGGAGATATAACCGACTTCACCAATAGAGTCTCTACACTTCCACTACTTTTCTCTACATTTCCATCTCCGCAGATGGAAGGCGGAGGAAAGTGGAGTTTAAGGAGAGAGAAGCTGTGTCTGGTAGTCGCTTATCTTTTGCCGGGTAGGCACTCACTCATCTTTGTATTGTGTATTGTCTCTAAGTGTATCAACATGTATTGTCATGGGGCCAGATACACTGCCACGTCCACGTCGTTAGCCCTGGTGACCCAAAAGAGTGGTGAGTTGGTGTATTTAACTGTTCTACTTAAATAAATACACTTGGGACCATACGTGAATGTAAATAAAAGCAGGATAAACAAGATAGTGTGAGATTAGTGGTACAATTTGGACCTGGATTGGGACCAGAGTGTTGGTGTGAATCTACTAAATAAATATCACATTTTTTTCTACATTAATGCATTTTAAATAGTGCAGAATGCATTGTTTTTTCTTTAAGAATTTTCGATCATTTTACGATTGCGACTAATATTTTTCAAATATAGATATACCATATAGAATACCAATATTTTCAGAAACAACTTTTATTTTTTAATTATACTCTTATATTGATGTACGTATGACGCGTATTAAAATGAAGATTGAAAATGACAATTCGTCTAGGGGTTTACTCAAAATTTAAATAGTGCAGATCGCTATGTTGGAATTCATTAAATAATCAGGAATTTGATTCCGATCTTTATGGAGTTTGATGAAGCATTGTCGTGAATTTTTAGGTTTAATTGAATAAATTTTGGTGATTTCTCTAACAATCAGAGAGAAACCGATTTTTAGTGATAAGGAAAGATTAGTAATGTGCCATATCTCGCGTACGAACAATTCAATTTTCACTGCATTCAGTCACAATCAATTGAGTTGATTTTTAGGGCATGATTTTATTCTTCTAGATTACGATTTTTTTTTGCTGGCAAAAATTATACTTTTTTAATTACGAATATTTCCACAACTATACGACAAATTGAATTCTAATTCGTGTCATTGAATAGTTTGATATCTAGGAAAAAAACACGCAATTCAATATATTGCGTGAAGTAAATTTTCAAACACAAACAATTTTGAAACATTGAACAACACCAAAAATGTTTAGATATACTGACACAAAAAATTGGCATTCAAAAATTTCAACAATGACGAATTTCCACTCGAAAATCAATTTGCAATTGAAAAAACTCTTGGAATATCAGTTTTACCCAAGCTACACAGTAGATTCTAAAACAGTTGAAATGTATTAAAAAAATCAGTGAAATCCCGGAATTGTCGAGGTCATCAGGTCACCTCAGCCACAAAAATAAACTAACTGGACCAAAAATGAGGGTTCACAAGCGAGCAAACAGAATTTTCGCCTGCTACAGATTAATAAAATAAAAAAAAAGAAGAAATTCGAAATTTGCGATCAATACCGAGAAAACCCATTCACAAAGATCGTGAAGATGATGATAGTACGAGGGAGTTCTGAACAATTGATGAAACCCCATAATGGAATTGCGGATAAGACCTCCATGATGCTCACCTTGGACCCAGGAGAATGGCTGTTGACAGTTAAAACTCCACTTTGCTGATGATTGAGGCCCCTTGAGCCCTTGTGGGCACCCGGGATGGATTCTTTGATGGAGAGGAATTCTCCGGACCAATGCGAATTCTACAAAACCACTGGCCGATCTTCCGGTGAGCCCCGGTCGTTTTTCCTTAATCTCTGCACTGTCTTGGCCCTCAATCTTCGTAATATCCCTCAGTAATCCACCTGGCAAATGTTCAAGATGAGTTTTAACAATTAATATGACGTCGGGTTGAAGGAAATAGCCACGGATATCAATTATTATTTTTTGGAATGA